CCCCAGTGCCCAGCAACGCAAAGCTGCTTCGAGGTGGAAGGCGCTGCAGATTGTTGAATGACCCAGTTCGTTCTGGCTGAGCAGCTCCCCCAGGGAGAACCATCTGCTGTTGTCCTAATTTATTCCATTAGTCACAACCCAATACAAATCGTATTAGGGATAACAGGCCAGCGTTACTTATAGAACGCAGCGCACATCTCATTCAGCAACAGTCATGGGGTGGCCATCTCCTTTCCACATCCCTTTATTGAGTGGCGGAGGCTTCGAAAATGTGTACTCGCAACTCGTGGGTAAATTGTACAAGAGACCACGATAAAGGGTGGGCTGTCATCACATACTGATCTGCTAATGAACTGCAGGCAGGTCCACCCCTGTAGTCTGAAATCAAACAGGTTAGGCTGGACTCTAACATGCATAATGCATGTGTATCGGACAGGAAAGATTAAGTCATGAATTTAGTAGATGCCGGTTAAAAACAGGCTCGAGTCAATAAATATTTCCTTAATTCAAGTGTTAAGTTAATTCCAATCCAAACTGGAAAGTTCATCATTTGCTTTATGTTAGGCTCAAGCTAAGAAAAATGAAACCACCGCCCCTTGACGTGCTTTAGAGAGCTTTGCCTCCTCGCAGCCATTCCACACGAGAGAACAATGTAGCACAGAAGAGGAAAGGCGGATATTCCAGCTGCCACGGCGGGTCTGCTCTGGCATGCATTTGTCATGTCGACTGGGAGCACTGTGCTTCTCCGCATCAATTCTGCCCTGCTCCACGGGGTGGACGCGACACAAGGCAGTGGAGGAAAACGGAGGGGCCTGCTCATTTCAGTTTCTATTATATTTTAAAAAGAAAAACTGGCAAGTCTCATCTGACATGCAGCAGGCACAAAGCCATATTTTTAGCTTAAACTAGAAAATATGGGGGATGGCATCCAAATCCAACCCTTTTTTTTTTTTTTTAAATGGCACTTCTAACACACAAGCACCCTAGTTCCTAGGAGCTCACCTCACACCACAGTCTGGTTGTCTTTGTTCAGGTCTGGGACAAGATTCTGGCAAGGCAAGACAGGACAGAGGTGCATTGGTACAGCCTGGAGAAAACCCTGGGCTACATGCAGAGAACGCGACGCTCCGCCTCATCCATCAACAGACCTGGCACAAATGCTAAAATTCACCCACAAATGAACTGTGGTCAAATCAAAAGCACAGCAGCCAAGCCAATGCTGCAGAGAGAATGTGAGGTATTAAACATTTACTGACATAAAACAAACAGTGCTGCCAGATCTTTACTGAACGTTTAAAAATTAAAATCCTTTGGAATTTCTGTAGGTATATGGCCGAGTCCCTGTGGATGCACCGCACAATAAACCAAATGGAGGCGATGAGAACAGCTATGCTGCAGGGTTTAAGGAATAAACAGAAAGCTGGAGATCCACAATTCTCACTTGGAGTGGGATTTAAAGAGCCACCTGAATTAAATGGAAAGAGGATGCAAAAGGATACGTTTCATATATATCAGGAGGCTGCAATAGTGGGCTTTTTAGATGCGTATCTGCTACAGATCGACAATTTCTGGTAGTTACGTATAAAAAGCCTAAACGGGAGCCTGATCCACCAGAGCACCTACTGAAAGTAATTCCATACAGACAAGCAAAGTGCATGCTAACCGCTTGCCTCCGCTGCAACCGTTACCCATTACACTAGATTTTTAAGCTGTCTAAGAACAGCACAAGCTACGCAACATAAAATTACCACCAGCCAACACACGCCAATGAATCTGTAGTTCAAGTCCTATGAAACAAAGCTCTCACCATTACTGCTGTCTAACACCGCACTCAGAACACAGGCAGGAAGTCGAGACTGTCTAACAAAGTGCGGATGAAAAATGCTTTGCAGCATTATTTTCTGCAGGGCCGCTCTATATAGTAACATTTTGAGAAAGCCATAAAAAGGTGTTGGTGTTTCACTACAGCTATTGCAGATGGAAGGCCTTGGCCTCGTCTGGCTCCAACTAACCTCACTACCAATGGGACCAGGGCAGTGCTGTTCCCTGCAGGGTATTTTCTATTATTTGGCCTCCTCTTCTCTCCTCCAACCAACGGGTTTCCATTTTGAGTCTTATCACAGGAAGACACAGACCACCTGTGATCTGACCACGAAGCCATCCAGTTCAAGTGTCTCAGGGAAGAATCCCATAAAGGGCAAATGTGGAATATGCTGCACCCTGCACCCAACACAGTCCTTAGGCCCAGAAACAGGCTGGTTCCAATTCTCTCCAAAGAATCCATCAGTTATGACAATCCTGCACTTTCCTGTAATGTGGACACGAGGCCAACACTCGTGATACCTTGTGCAATTCTTCACCTCCTGCAACAATGAAGTCCACACTCCAAGGGGGTTGTTTTAAAGCCTTTCATTCGGTCAGTCCCAAAATTCCCACTATTAATTTCACTGAGCACAGAGGGGGTTAGTTGTGTTTGTCTCAAGTCAGGCAATGGAGAAGACAGGGTAGTGCTGCAACCAGCTAGTCTTTAAAGGTGCTACCATGTCTTGCCCTCTGCCTTGCTGTCGTCACGTCCTCATTTTGCAAGACAGGGAACAGAAACACCCAGTTTCCCTCATTATTTCACGTATGAATATCATAGTCCCCTTCCTAATCTCTATTTTTGTTTCTTACAGCCATGCATACCTATTATCCTCTCAGACAAAAAAAAAAGTTGTTACAGCCATTTGCCTATATTTTATGTAAGTGGAGAATTTATCAACAAAAGCTGAAAATCTTCTATATTAAACATTAGGAAAAATGGGTAGCATTTATCATGTGGTCAAAGTTCCTGCAGAAAAGCAATACATTTTGAAACATTTATAAAACATCCAAGAGACCCTAAAAGCTATTCAGTGCTAACCCCTACTTTGTTGCAGATAAGTGCTTCATACCTTTTCCTTTTACATTCCTGCAACTGTTAATGTAAAACCGATTTATAAAAAAACTACAAGCAAAAAAAACCACCAAAAAAACCCACACAACTTCTGTTGCTGACAGTTATTTGTTCACATTGATCCAATATGGGTTTAGCGCCTTCTGAAGTATAAAGGACAAAGGACTCCGGTGAGAACAATGGGAACAGAAACAGCATAGTACAGAACATGACAAACAGACGCAGAGTTTTGTCACTCTATAGCATCCCTATTTTGTCTTGAACAGACTCTTTTGAGTGTCCAGAGGTGGGCCGCAAAAATAAAGGTGCTGGAAGATAAGATGTACAAGGAAAGGCTGACAGAACCAGGTACGTCCAGGCAGCAGTAAAGGCAATTATGAGGTGGATATAATAGCAGTCTTCAAATAGCTGAAGGGCTACCATGAAAGAGGAGAAGGAGAACAACTTTTCTCCCATACCACAGAGGGCAGGATAGGAAGCAATGGCTTTAAGTGTCAGCAAAGTAAATGCACGTTAGGTCTCCGAGGAAACCTGGTTCGAACAGCCTGCCCAGGGAAGTTGTGGAGTCTCCTTCGCTGGCGGTTTTCAAGGAGGCTGGGTAAGCATTAGACAGGGATGGTTTGGGAGTAGCATCCTGGGGGTTGTAACCACACGACCCTTGAGGCCCCTTCCAATCCTGCCATTCTTATAGGGTTAGTGCCTTTATCTGCAGGAGCTTCTTTACACCAAGATTCAACCTACCCAATTTCTCTGGCTCGTCTGGACCTGTTCCAGCAATGCAGCTGCTCTCTAGTCCATAAGTTGGATCCACTTTGCCAGAGGCTCTTGCTGCTTCCTGTACTTTCTTGACATGGGCTTCAACAAGCTCCAGTGGTACCTCCTCTCGCACCCGAGAAAATTCCTCTGTTGAAGGATGAAGGGGAAATATTTCAACGTCAGCAGGTAGGTTTGCACAGATCCAGTTACAAACAAATCCAGTAACAAAGCAGATGTTCAATAAATTCTGAACTTTCTCCTTACTTGTCATAAAGCAGACAATTTTCTTCCTCAAATGTGCTAATTAACAGTAGTCAAGTTAATCTCTCTTCCAAGCTACAAAAATGCAAGCTAGCACATTTTTTGTCCTTTATACAGGACTAGTCAGTGACTGAATAAGCAGGAACTACTTCTACAACATACCTCTAGGAAAGCCACAGTTAAAATAAGAAAAAGACCCGCAGTAGCCACAATCTTTACATTCATATTTTGGCACAAGATTGTAAGTCAGTGTTTTAAATGAGAAGAGTCTACAACGTGGAACCACGTACATTTAAATCAACAGTGATAAAAAAGCAGTGGGTGGCACTTATATACCGATTTACAGACATTAACCAATTAATATTTCAATAACTGAAGGTAGCAGACTAGAGGGGAAATGAAACATCCTTCAAGTCCAAATATTTCTCCAAAGTGTGCAAGCTTGTGCATTGCCAGCTCATTTCATCTTGAAACAAATCAGCAAATATCCTTATGGATAACTCCTTGCCCATATTTTCAACGTATCTGCTTTGGTTTTCAAACTACAATTAGCTGCATTTTGGGGAAACACTAGAAATAGCAGCTGACCTTGCTAGAGTTTAAAAGTCAGTCAATACCAAACACAAGTTAGACCTTATAAAGCAAAACTGAATAGTCATAAAGATTTCATACCTAAAGCAGCTTTAGCTGCAGCGGACGCCACCCGGGGATCCACTACAGATGCCAGAAAAGCAACAGTGCTCATCACTGGGTTTCCGGACTGGCTGAAAGGCACAGGTTGGTAAGCCAGTGGGCCTAGAGACGCATCAGAGTTTTCCAAGTACGGGTCCTCGATGGGAAGCCTCAGAAAATGGAGAATACACTCATCCTGGGTACGGCTGCCAACATGCTCAGAGACCTTATTCCAGTCATCCTTGTACATCTCCAGAGCCTGTAAACGAAGAACACCACGAGCACTTTGCATTAACTGTCTGGTAGAAAAAGACTGCTTATTTGCTGACCCTCTCAGCTGGGTGGGAAACAGAGCGCTAACTTACCTGCAACGGAAAGGGCAGATGTGAGCAATGAAGTGGCCATCTGATACTTATGCTGCAAAATACCAGAACTACCAGAAATCTCATCATCTTTAGGATGAGAAGCACGACAACGACTTGATCTTCCCCAGCATAAGAGAAAAACATGTGCAGCCTTTCCTCTCGTGAGAGCAGAGGAGGGAACCAAAGGTTTCCTTATACTGCTTGACCTACCTATTTCTGTAGCACACTCCAATACCATGGTAAATGGCTTGGCACATACATCTAGACCAAGCTCTCACAAGAGACTATTTGAAGGCTCAAGTGAACAAAAAAAGTTAACCAACAGAGCAAGTTTTGACAGAGGCACCAAGGACTAATTGGACCACAAACTGAACTACTCATCTTCTGATGTAGGTCTTCCAATTTAGGACTGAGGCACAAGATGCTTTAACAATGTTGTCCTCTAGGTACAGAGGATATCTGTTTCCAGGACCATATTTAACATAGTATTTTCACCCCTATGTATATATATATATTTTAGACCCCTAATTTCTAGAATGCATGGCTTTCTAGACAGGATCCTGGCCTCTCAAGCCTGAAGGAAATCATTTTTACAGCAGTAGATAGCTCAGTGATAACATTCTCTTAGCATCAAGGTAATCTACTATAACAGGACAATTGGGGACGTTGAGAGTTAGCTGGGAAAGACAGAAGAGAAGCATGCTTCTCTTGTCGGAGATTAACAAGGAGAACAACAAGATAATCTAACAAGGAGATTAACAAAATGAACAGCTGAGATGAAATGTTACAGATTCACTGTGCACTGAACAGCTTGAAGGGGGGAAAAAAGGAAGATGCACCAAGTGGCCCAAGATCAGGGTTGCTAACCCAAGAGGGGTTTTTTTAAACTGGTAATTTTCCTATTTTATTTTTTACTGACAGACACACTTTTTCACAGACATGTGTTTTCACTGTCAGTAAAAAAAACAAATAAATCTTGGATTGCCAGCCTGTACAGCAGCAGCAGAGATGTTATACCCTGCTGCCCCTACTACAGGGGTCCTCTACTCACCCTATACCCCGACATGCCCAACTGTACCCAGCACCATGCTGCTTCCCCAAGTCCATTCGCCAGCCTTACCCACACCAGCTCCATTCCCTTCACCCCAGCACAGAACCCCTCCTATCCCCTCTTCCCAGCCCTGTATTTTCTTGTGTTCAGGATAGTCACTTGGAAGCTCAAGTAAGCCAGAAAGCCCTGACAGTTCGTTATGTTACATAGTGCTTCTACTTAGAAGCAGGCAGCACTGCTCCTCTCCCTGTCCAGCATCAACACTTGCCCTGAATGTAGTTTCAGTCTAGCAATGAATCTCGAAACAAGCTCAAGGCTTCTTAATTTTATGTAGACAAAATTATTCTTTACACACTTTATGTAGAGGTGATTTTATCGACAGTTAAGATGTCTTTTTGTTTTGAGTTTGTTATATGTAGTTTAGTTTGGTCTTGCCAAAATTCCTGCACCCATTTCTCCTGCAAAGGTGAAAGCTATTGTGGCTAAACTTGGTAAAAGACTGTCTGAAGGATCTTTGTCCCCCCTGTCCCCAAATGTAGGATATGTAGCTGGGCAAATCTCACACAAAAACAACCTATTTAATACTGCAGAGAGTATGCGCACTCTGTCACTATAGCTTTAGAAGCTGGGTGGATGGAACGATAGATGGTTGAAAAGACTCCCCAACAAGCTGGGAAACTACCGAAACCTTTTTAAAGCTCTTCTAGAAAAACGCGTTGCATCCAAAAAGTTAAAACTGGCATTATTCTACTATTTTGTCAGGCCCACCTACAGGGGTCAATGCAAGAGCCCAACTTATGATACTGTTCTCTTGAACCTTGTCTAGTCCTGTTTCAGATCTCCAAACCAGCGGGGCTTTTATCCCTTCCCTTGTGAAGCAATTCCAGAGCAGAATGAGTATTGGCACAAAGTAATATTTCCTAATATTCAGCCTATATTTTTCTTTTCCCAATTTTATCTCATTACTGTTATTTCTATGTCACCTTCCATCCTCACCCCATTTACCCATCTTCAGACAGGGTTAAAAAGCTAGTCTGGAGTGTAGTTTTGCTTCACAGTGCAGTGTTTTAGTCCATTCTATTTACTTTTGTTATTTTTCTGTAGTATGAATATTTAATTTCCCCACCACTCTTGCCCTTCCGTATGAACATCTGAAAAACGCTCTCATAACCACATAAGACAGTGCTGCATGGAGAGACAAGTGAAAAAAGACAATGCTGATGCTGGGAAGGAAACAATTTATCTCCCTCTAGTCATCTGGTCAACAGACAGGAGGACAGTACTTACCATGGATAAGACATTCTCTGTAAGTTTAGTGCATAGATTTATCCAAAGCTACCTTGAGGATTTAATTGGATAAGTTTGACTTGTTATATAGCAGGTTAGTGAAGCTTGAACTGATATTTTTCTCTACTGTTTTATTTATAGGTTAAAAGACAAAGAGACCAAATAATGTTGAGTTTAAACTGTACATTACTTAGTAGGTTTGCTAGCAGAGAACTCATTAACTGTTTACCAAGTGTGCACTGAATTTGGGATATTCTGTTGGGGTGTTTTACTGCCACTTTCAGACATCCTACATATTGCACCTTCTGCTACAAATGTAGAGGGTCTGGCTGGATCAGCATAGCTACCAAACAGCTTTAACCAAGCTTGAAAGTTTTATTTATTGCAGGCAGAATGAAATTTCTGAGACGTGGGTTTTGGTCGCTATTCATCACTTCATTATGTCTCTACCACAGAGCACACATTCTAAGCTACTGAGGCAATTATTACTAAGGTAACTATAAATAGGATATTGGTTGTAATGTTTTCCAACCAGCATGAAATATATAATTCATTTAATCTCAGAGCTCACCTGTCAGTTGAATTACAAATTAATAAAGAGAGTTAACAATAGTACGAATTGTAAATGTTAATGGCAATGTTAATACAGAAAGACATTATGTTGCATTATTAGCTCATTATATTTACACAGTGTATGCCCAACAGCCTCTGCTACTTAGCTATTCCTGCTCTTTAAATATAGTTTATTGCTGGATAAAATAAAAACACTTACCTGAAAGATAGGGCATGTCAATCTAACATGAGACGAAACTATTCAGGCTGTTTTACCCTTGGGTCCCTGGCAGACACTGATTTCATGGTCTGGTGGGATCTGGTCCAAATAATCTTGCACTGTGCCATGCCATACATACATGGCAGGATGCATGATTTTTTGGGAGTAGGGATAAAAATCTGTCAAGATTACAATCATGCACCTGCTGACCTAGGATGCCCAGCCTCAGGATCTGGTCCCCTTGCAACTCACTGGTGTGCAAGGAGTCCAGGATCACAGTCCCAGGCTCTACACTCACACCAACAAGTTGAAAGCCACATGCAGTGTAGGTCTCTTCTGCACACAGGTTTAAACCTTCTGGGCATGGAAGCCTATCTGGCCCCTGTAAACCCGCACAGCGGGCAACCCCTTGCCACATTCAATTTAAAGCATCGTACACACCAGCCACAAAGACGTTCCACATCAAACATGGAACACCTTTGTAGCCAATTTGCCATGTTATGGTCTTTTAACTGGCTGAACATGTAGCATGTTACCATTCACCAAATGATAAATGTATTGTCTGCTAGGGCCCTGCACTTTTAAAACTGAATTTACTATATAATTGGGCTTATTCACAAAGGTAAAGTGTAAATTAAAGAGCTGTAATACGAAGAACAAAGCATTATTGAAATTTGGAGTTCATGATCTTTCTAAAGATCATAGAATTTGGCAGTGGTGACTGATTACATGGCTAAAACACCAGGACATAACTACCCAATAATCCTCTATTTGGATTAAATGACTCAGCAGTAGCAATTGCCTGGAAAAATTAAAAGCTGTTAGATTTGGCTATAAACAGGGAAAAACATGATAGGAAAAGTCAGATAGATATAGAACCTTTATACTACAGACACAAGGATGCTAATGTCACAGAAATTCAAGACTTTTAAGATTCCTCCAGGCCAGATCTTTATACTAGATATTCCCCCTTTTCCTTCCAAAAGGAAGGCCTGCATTTGTACAGTATCTAGCACAGTGAGCCCCAGTCCAAGACTGGGGTCCTTAAGCACTATCACAATATAAGCATCTGATGACTTGAGTAATAACACAATTCAGCAGCCCCAGATCCAGTCAACTTTAATATTTTAGGAAAACAGCTTTGGTTGACATACCATCTTGTACCCAATTCCTTAAGCCATTACCAGCAGTTGAAAAGAGAGCGTTAAGTACAGTTTTGACGTCAAGAGGCTGAATAAATTCAAGTTATGGCTTTCCTGTGCAATTACACAAATTCGTGGCTACCTCATAACTTGCACCTCTTATTAAATGGCAACGAAGGAGAAAGCTATTAAAACACCTAATAGAATCATTTATATGCCAGAAACAGATAAGCTTCAAAAGGGAATATTAGCAGCTTCTTCTAACACCCTGGAGCACAGATGGGAAGCTGTGAACATTATCAGGACCTTAGAATGCTCGCCTTCCTGGCAAATACCAACATTGCTCCAAAGGCACATCTTTCACAGCTTTAATACCACATTAGCAACATTTCATCTACCTGGAGAACTCACTGCACAGCAAGATAAATTTGAACTTATTAAGATGCTCAAAAAATGCCAAAGTAAAGATTTTGGGGCTCAAGACACAAAGCACATGCCAGTGAAAGCTGAAGGAATTTTATATAAAAGCTAAATTTCTTCAATTCATGATGAGTCTAGAAAAATGAATAGTAGCAAGCATGGGCTCTATCAACTATCTTACTACTTTTCACAACGAAGACGTTACTTTTAGCACACAGGTCAAGGCCCAGAGAATATTCTCATTCCACACCTTACTCCTCTGTATTCCAATTATTCACTGGTATTCCACAACGCTCTCCTTACCTCTAGTAGCAGTAGTGTTTCTTGTTCTGTCCATTCTCTTCCGGCACTGGCTCCTTTGCTCTATTAAAGGGAGAAATCAAAATCGATTTACTTATCCTTGTGGAGAACGACTTTGAGCAGACCTGTCTTACAAGAAATGGCTTATCTGTTAGTCTCTCTCTTCACAGAGATGCTCCTGTAATTGAATCTCTTTGCTTACCCTACAGCAGTGGTTCTCAACCATTTTAGTACCAGGAGCCATTTGTAAAGATCCATGGTCAGTCCTGACCAACAACATCTGGCACTGCTGGTGCCCCTCACTCCCAACCTGCAGTCCCCTGGCTCCCCCAGCCCTCTGAAGTGAGGCCCAGTAGAAGCAAAAGAAAAATCCAAGCAACCTCACCTTTGCTAAGGTCTTCTTTGAATAAATGTCTGTGCGGAGTCCAAAATTCTGCAGGTCAGTGGGCTTTTCTTTGTTTTTTTCAGGAAAACTCAACATCTGCTGAGCAGCAGGGACCTAAGAGCAAGCAGTAAGGAGAGGGGGTCAGGACAACAATCACTTGTCCAACATTTTCAGACCAAACACAAGGACTGAACCAAAGAATTTCTCTTGAGCATTGTACATAGGGATGCACTGGAGGAGCATTTCCCTTGCTCTCCATTACACACACGATTGGTAGGTTTGGGTTTAGAGCCTAGAAACTCCGTGCAGCGTTATTGTACAGAATGAAAAAGGTAGAAGCAAGTTGGTATAACCAGAATGTCTCAGACTGAAATACGGATGAGAAGGATGCATTTCTTCAGCCCATGCATAAATTAGCTACTTCAGTCCGGCATCGAGCAGCATGGACTAGCTAAAAATACAAGTATGCCAGAACATGAGAAAACCACACCCAATATGCAACACTGCTGCCCAAGTCTGAAGAAGTGAGCAGCCCCAAGTGTGGTGGTGTCACCTACTGGTTTTACCTGAGGAGTTCGGATATGGAGAGGCATAAGTCCAGAGGGAGTATCCGCAAGCACGTTGAAATGAGGAGTAGGAGGGGGGCCCATGGCCATGGGACGGCTTTCCGGATCCACTTGGTAGTTAATGAGACCCCACTGCTCCAGAAAGGCATGGACCCTATGGGACAACAATTACAGGAGACGATGACTCAAACAGCCCTGGCCTTGCAGGGAAGGCATTTGAGTTGCACTTCTGAAGAATGTGTGAAAAATACTTGTAGGGCAGCTCACAGCCCTGTGCAACTCCTATGACCTTTCATTATCAAACAGGGAATCTTAACACATCACACGAATTCTCTACACAAGCTCGACAATCTCATTTCTCTGAATTCAACAACTATTTCAGTCACTGGTAGAATTAGAGAAAAAGATGGGGCTGGAAAGGATTTGGAAAGGTGCTAAACTTTAAGATAGAAATTTCTTCCTAATATCTGATACAACTCTCCCTTGTTGCAACTTAAGGCCATTATTTCCTGGCTGGTCCCCTCTGGGCACAGAAAACAATTGTCATGTTTATAAATTCACCATTTTTGTACTTGAAGACTTACTGAATCCCCTTTCACTTATCTCCTCTGGATTTAAAAAGAAAAAGCCAGTTCTTCCAACATTTCTTCACAAAAAACCAAAACTGTGTCTTGACTATATGAAACCATTTGAGGGAAGAGAGAAAGTTTGCACACTAGGCATTTGCTGGCATTAACTATTAACCCTACAGGTTACTAAGCTTCACCGATGCTGCGTGTATCAAGTCTAAAGTGTTTTAAGATCTTTGGTACAGAAATTACCATTCAAAAAAAGGTCACTGCAAGATGAGGTCACTTAAAACAGACACCAAGTAAAAGTGGAATGGGGAAACTGAACATCACTGTACTAATGAATAGCTCACTGGACAGCAGAAGGCTGCATGTTTCAATAGCGTCTACTGTAAAAACAGTTATACTAGAAAATGTATATGAACTCGATGATCCAACAGGTCCCTTCCAACCCTAAAATCTATTAAATCTATGTAGTAGTCACCAGAAAAGGAAAAAATAGTAAGCCAGTAAAAAAAATGGTGGTTGTCACCCAGGCCTCAAATCTCTTAACTCAGTCGCAAAAGAGCTCCTGACATGCAACCTGTAACGGAGTAGCTCTGCTGACAGAAGCAGGGATACAGCCGAGATGAGCAGGTGCAGGGTTTGCGGGTCTTACCTCATTACAGCACACACGTCTCCGGTCAGGTTCCGTCGGCAAGCGGTGCTGGTCAAGTACTCCTGAGGGTTCAAGCGATACGTATCAATCATGAAGTTCCGGTAAGCCAGGTATCTGGAAGAAAGAACAGAACAAGTATTTGAAAGTGTCTACAGAGCTCTACTATGCCCTGCTTTAATTGTGGATACTATGAAAGCACCTTCAGGCCACCTGCCTCTGTAGCTTCCTTTCTTCAATGCACACAGCACATCACAGAGGCCTAACATTCAGTTCAAGGCCGATGAAGTCCTAAAAACACATGCCACAATCATCCTTGCCATGTAATGGCAGAGTGAGAGCAAAGCTGATGAATTGCAAGGTTTTATTTTTACGGCCAGCAAACTCTGCCAACAAGCTTTAACACAAAAGCAAAAGGCAGCTGAATATATTTTTAGAGCAAATGCTTTATATGCCAGCATCTTAACCAATGCCTCTGCATGTTGTTTATTTAAATGTATTATGTCCATTTAGATTGTATAGAGGGGCCGTATTTTTAGCAATAAATAGAAAGTGACAACTTCAGTTTATTTGGTTAGCAAAAAATATGCTAAATACATTTAGTTCTCATATTGCCAATTTAATTTTCATTGCTCTGTGTTATAAACAGACAGAAAGTTCACCCAGTGAAAAATCTGATTCTAAAAGTAAGAACCAAGTCTGACATTTAGAACGGCTAGAAATATTAACAGCCCACGAAGCTTATTTTCCAGTACAGGACTGAACAGCACACCAAAAGGGAAAGCAGACATCTCTTCCTTTGCCTCTGTTCAGGCTCTGATAACCGAGGTGCCGCTCCAGAGTGAACGATGGAGAGAGTGCACACTTGCTTCCTCCTATCCCAACAATTTCCTCTGAATCAAGTATGAAAGATTTTAGCCATGAAAGAGCTCCAGAAGAAAAACAACAGCTTCCTTCCCTTTGCATTCTTTCCATGTATAACAATGAGAGAGAAAAAAAAAACCCACATATAAAACATGAGAACTAAAAATAGCAAAGAAGGAAGACAAGTGAAGAATGGAAGAGAGGATAAAACACACCATGAAGATGGAGGGAAAGGCTGCTATTAACTGTAAGTCTGGCTTGCCTCCATTCACCCTGAAGCACAGAACTGCCAAATTTGGAGACAAAAAGAGTTTCCCCGATTTCTTTTGTCTGAAGCCATCTCCCTGCAAGACAGTGCTTACCAGTGCAAGGCAGGACAGAAAACCCTAGGAGCAAAATATCCGAGCTTCTGATGCATGGTGGCACCAGCTCATATCTGCCCAGGTGCTATCACCCACTACCCTCTTCTCATCTTTGAGCTGCACAAGGAAGGCTTCTCTGTGAAGGCCATTTAAAAATAAAAGAAGTAAAATTTCATAAAATAAATATGAACATGCATCCTTGGGACGTGAACAAACCCTAGAATATGGTACCTCAAAAACAACCCCACACTAGGAGGTAGGTGAATCGCCTGCACAGAAATACCTTGCAAGCAGCGTGCTATAGGCAAATGCCCTTCTATTAAAAAGTAAGCAACGTAATTTGCATAAAACAGGCACAAGGACAAGCTCAGGTAAGTTTACTGAATAGGTCAAGGCCTAAAAATACCAAAAACAGATGTACAAGCAAAAAGGAGGAATGAGGCCTGTTTGACAATAGATTTAAGCTGACGGATGCCTCGGAGGACTTTCCCTCAGAAACCATACGCACGCTTTCAAATTTAGTTATTTAAATTAAAAAAGAAAAAAAATTCCACAAGAAAACCTAAATGGGTTGGGAAAGGCTGGACTCCCCCTTGCAGAAGCCTGCTGGGCAGGCAGGAGACCCTACAGGAATATTTCAGACTCCTTTTGCATGCCTTATGTCAGGAGAAAAGTGCGGCTACACTGCTGAAGTCCAAAACGAAGATCCCCGAGGCTCGTCCTGGCACCACTTGGCACCACAGTGTGAGAAGTGGTGTGACTTGCTACCTGTACTGCCAGCAGCAAGAGGTGCAGCTGCTGCAATCTACTCTGCGACAGAACCAGCTAAGGAGCACGTATCAGAAGAAAGAACCCGGATGAACTTCCTTGGGTCTTTGCTTAGTCCAAGCAAAATCAGCATAGCCAGATTTTAGGTCAGAGTAACTGCATCTCCAAACTAATCTGGGGTTATGGGGATGGGCCTCCATAGTTTACCCCAATATGTAGCTGTACCTGGTTACCAATACTGACAATGCTGATCAACATCCCAGTCTTCTGCAGACATTCTGGATTTTGGTCTGAACTGAAAGGGATCCTGAGCTCCTTCTCATGCAGCTACAGCCCAAGAGCAGAGGTACTGGGTAATCCAGCCCTCAACCTGGAAGCTGGCACCAGAGCAGAAGTCCTCCCTCAACAGGAGGCAGCTCAGGAACAAAGATGCTAATAAAGCAGCACAGGGGAGGGGACCCGTATCTTTTTCACTACGTGGCAATGGGGCCAAAATGCTTTTGCCTATGCACAGCAGCTCAGATTTTTATCCCTCCTACTAGAACCCCAGCTCACTGCAAGCAATAGTACCCCAAGGTAGAACCTCTTCCCCATATTATCTACTATAAAAGGCAATCACTTATATCTATCCGGAACACCCCTTCAGATGCAGCTTGCATAACAGCTGGAAGAAGGCTGACAGTCTTTTCAACCAAGTGGCTCACACCCTGTTAGAGGGAGTTTACCCGCTGAGCAGTAAACTCCGCTTCCAAATGATTCTTGGTGTCAATGTTAAAGGTTCTGGGATCAGACTCACAAGCATGGACAATTTTCTCTATCTCTTGAATTAGAGCAAGCAACAGTAACTGATGCATGCCTCTTGCCTCGGCCTCACAAAGGTAAAAAGTCTTAAGATCTATGAGAGCTCCACTGCATCTTGCCTCAAGGGGAGACCCAAGAGCAAGAACTCTGTACATCTGCAATCTTTAAATGGAGGTGCACTTTGCATGGACTTCCAGCACGCCAACGATAAAACAGCATGCTCATATTTTAAAACTTTAGTAGCCACAGATGTTTTTGATCATTACATGTTAAAAGATTTGAAATTTTCACTGGCAACCCAAAGAACAGCCCTGTGGCCACTCCATAAAAGTCACTGTGAAACCAGCTCAACTTCATTGTCTATGCCAGTGGGAACCAGCATTTTCGGCAGGCATGTCACAAATTAGCCTTGCACGTTCCCCATGTGCCACTTGAATCTTCTTCCCTTGCTCAATTTGCTGCTCTGTTTTCTGCTCCCTGCTCTGGTGCCAGGCGCCACACACAGGCTGTCCACACCACTCGTGCACTCATGCTGCCAGATGGCCACCCTTCGTCTATGTCAACAGACCTGCCACACGTAATAAAGGCAAATGCTGAAAGGTAAATGCAGTTCTTGATCTAAATTGCTAACAACCTGCTCATGTTTAGAACAACATTTATTTTGAATCTCCGTTGTACGTTCAATGTTGAAGGTAAGGTAGTTCTCCATGTGACTAGTAGATAGCTAATATGATGAAAGAAATTCGTTTTACTCTTAACAGGAATATTCTCTTAAACAGATGGCAAGGAAAGCGGTTACTCCCTGCTAAAGGATATTCTAGGACTTGATGGACAGCAGCAGATTCTTGAAAGACTAGTGATCTTCTAATCATAAGATGTCTTGTTATATCTTGAACTGAGTGTAAAAGTTAAGCTGATGTACACAGCAGCTTGATACATTTCAAGAGGGTATTATAGCAAAAAATGTTGGCCAGTCTTTCTGACACCTCATTTATGTCTGGCTTTAGCATAGGCTGAACTTGACTATAAGAGGTCTTAATCTTTTCCTCCCCTGCTCCTCCCTTCTACCTCCTTTCTCAAGGACCATAGTTACCATTGTCAAGACCTTCCTTCTGTTCTGTTTGTACATCTATTAAAATGGGATCTGGATCCAGCACTTGTACAAACCTTACTGTAAAAACAACACAGTTAGATCTATGGGTCCTTATTATGTTTAAACCAAAGTGGTGCATACCTGTAAGCAAAGACCTATTAGCTAGTCATGTTCATGTGTCACAAGGCATGTTTTAACTCAAGAGAACACTTTTAGAAACCCTTATACTTTGTATAAAATGTATACTGAACCAGATCTGCAATAAAATCAGTTGCATTTTTCCTGGACACCTTCTGCTTCCTGTTGCTTGGTAAGTACGGCGTTTCCAGCACCCATAATAAATATCATCAAGGTACTTGTACAAACAGACATGCTTCATGTAGATCCTGGACAACAGTCAGGACAGGAATACCTCTCAAGGCCCTAATGGGCGTTGAGCAAAATGGCGGATCCTGCTGGCAGTCAGACTCCGTTTCCCAGCAGCCCCTGCCTGCGTGGCTGGGGCCAGTTTCCATGGAGACCCTAGAAGCAGCTGCACTGTGATAATGCGGGGCGGGGTTTCTATAAAGACCAGCCCCAGCAGTGCTGGCAGGGCAGGGAGCTGTTCTGGGGCTGGGCTGGGATCTTGTAGCGGTGACAGTGTGGTCCAGAGCCGGGGCAGAGCTGCAACCCGCTGCCTGCACACCCCTGCCCAGAGCACGCAGGCTGCAGATCATGGTTCTGCCCCAGCTCTGTCACCACTGCAAGATCCTAGCCCGGCCCTGGAGCAGCTCCCTGCCCTGCCAGAGCTGCTGGGGCCAGTCTCCACAGAAACCCTGGCCCCACGCTATCACAGCGCAGCAGCTGCTGGGGTCTCCATGGAAACCGGCCCCAGCCACATGGGCAGAGGCTGCTGGGAAATGGAGTCCGCTGCCGGCCAGATCTGGCCCATGGGCCAGACTCTGCCTGCCCCTGCCCTAATGTATCAACAAACAGTATCTCTTTCAACCCTGTAACTGTGTAAAGACAAACAGACCACGGCACTCCTGGAATTAAAGGTTTTAGCTTTCCTAGGAAGCAGGTGCACACCTAAATGTACATGTTATACTTACATTTCTGGAGTCTTGGATTTGTTTTTCCCATTGAAGAACTCTGGAAGAGCACGGCGCTCGATTACATGAATGCTGGAAGAAGTGTGAAAAGGAGCAAAGTTATTGATGAGCACATACAAAATTCAACTGTGCAACACCTGAATTAACATTCCCCTGCCCACAAAATGTGCACCTGCAGTGCTACCACTTAAGTTAGTGTAGCTGTTTAAACCCATAACCCGGGTAGTCTTGAGGTGCTACGAAGATTTGGTCACTTGATGCGAGCAAGAACATACCTGCTCAATGCTCCTTTAACTGGATTTGCAGCAAAGGAGGAAAGAGGATATTTAACCTCTGAACACTAAAGTAAAAGTAAGAGCATTTACTTGTGTTCCAGTTAGTGTGAACACTGAGCAGAAGTCCAACGGCCACAAAAGAAACAAGTTTTTACAGTTCACAAGCAAAGATTATTTATTGATCATTGCTTCAACAACTTCGCAACTCTTCAATCGATCAATGAGACCTACTAGGTGCTTGACACTTTGAGAGTCAAGTAGATGCTTAAAATTTACATTCCTTACTCAAACATCTCTGCCTCAATCGATTTAAACAAATGAATGAAAAGCCTCTGGCTTTTTGAGGGAATATTAAGAGCTCATTTCTTTCAAATTCTTTCCTCTGCTGCTGTGACAGGAACACAAGCTAAAGAGAAAAAAGTAACTGACTACAATGGAAGCAGCAAATTGGACTATTAATAAAATGCTCTCAAACACACGTAGCAAACTACCTTAAAAAACACAGATTTCAGTCACAGCTATCTAGTATTTACTTGCAACAAGTATGGGAGGAAAAATCCAACTGAAAGTGTGATTTTTAAAATCAGTTGTTTTTTGGGTTTTTTTAAAGTGAAGAACGAAGACTCCAATGTTCTCCATCTGTGCAGCTACAAGTAAAAAAACAGTAGTAACTAAAGAGATTTCTTTGAAGGAGGAGGGGAACAAAACAGCTGAAAGATTCTCCACCTTTCTTATTTATTACTTGACTAGATACAAAGAAATTTGATCACAAAAGTAGTATCATTTTAGGGCAGTTTCATCTACAAAGCTCTCACAAGAAAAAGCAAGACAAGTCTTTTGTACAGCCCTTGTGTCATAAGAAAGAATGTGAAAAATGATCATGTGCTAGGGTCTGAAATGCAAAGCGAAACAAGAAAAATCTTCTTACATAAAAAAAAAAGTCAGCCACAATGTCTACGGAGCTCTACTCAACTCATTTTCCTTTGCCTCAACATACAAATCCATTTCTGGGCTATGTGCATTAAGCAGCAAAGAACATACAGCATTTTAGACAAGACACCTTTACCAACAATTTATCTATAAAACAGCTTTTCAGTTTCAGACAATAATGAAAAATAAAAAAAGTCACCCCCATTTGGCAAAACATTAGTCTGGAATAACGTGAGGGTCCCTCCATGAACTGAAAAGCTTAAAGAAAGGAAAATATTTTCTGGAGTTCAGAAACTAGAGACAGTTATGAGGGTCCTCTGACTACACGAAGAAAAAATATCTAGGTTTTCTTTGTTGCAACAAAACTATCCCTTAAAGAAAGAGAACTCATCTCACCTGTCTGAAGTCAAAATTTGCGTAATTTGTATTAAAGCAATATCACAGGAAAGTAGGGCTGGGAGGGAGCTTCAGAGACCTAGTTCAACCCCCTACCTGAGGCTGGATCATCCCCTATCCAAGCTAGCCCATGCTAGTCCTTATCTAGTCTATTCTTTAAACTACAAAAATCAAGCCTGTAGCACAACTACAAGGCGTACTGCCCAAAACACTGGAGCACCCAAACCTGTCACCTATGCAGTCGAAGAACAAGAGCTGTCAGCATCCAGCTGTTGCAAGGGCTTTTAAAATGCACTCGAGTGATCCAAGGAGGAGGGCCGCACCTCAATGCAAGAGAAAGGCAACCTTCCCCCAGTCCATAATACCAATCTGACCACAGGGTAAAATTCCTTCCCAATCCCAAATGTGGCAATCAGTCTGACCCTGGGTGGAGGGGGAAACCTCCCAGCAGAGTATTGGCACACCCCAGCCACAGTTCCCAGCCTGCACTGCAGCCAACACATGATGCTTCTGAGAAAGAAAAACCCAGACACCTGTAGCAAGAGGAAAGGAAAAAAAATCCTTCCCAGCCTCACACGGCAAAAAGCAAAGCCCAGAAGCCTGGGAAAAGCCAAGCAACATCTGCCCTGCCCTGCAACCTGGGGACAGAAAGCTTAACTCCACACGTTGCAGCCTCTGAGTAGGCAGCCAGAACTCCCCTTTCTGCACCCTTTACATAAACTTTTCCTAGCTCCTTTAATCTCGTTTCACAGCCATGCCAGCTGGGGAGCGCCGCTTCATCCTCCTGCTGCCGAGCAGGGTTCTGCTTTTGGTGACAGACCTCTTCACGTTATGTCCCAGCAAGCCATCTACTGCTCTTTACAGAGCACGCTCCAGGCATAGCAGCTTCCACATCATCCACCACCAATTCTTGCTTGTCTGACCCTTCCTTGGACAGCACCAGTGAAGGAGATTCCCTGGCCGTCTAGTCCACTGCTGCACTGTTTTAATAGTGAAGTTTTTTCCTGAGATCCAATCTAAACCTACTTGGCGGCAACTTCAAGCCACAGGTCCATTTCCAGCTCTTTGCAGCAAGACAGAAAAGGTGCTTTTCCCTCTTCTTATGGAACCTTCAAGTATTTGAAGACTGCTATCAAATCGCCTCTTAAGCATCTTTTCCACAAGCTGAATGTGCCCATTTCCTTCAACCGACCCTCATATGAACTGCCTTCCACGCTGTTGATCATCTGTCACCCGCCTCTTGACTCTCTAGCTTCTCCAGGTCCCTTTTAAAAGGTGAAGCTCAAAACTGCACACAATACTCTTGATGAGGCCCAACCAGGGCTAAATAAAGAGACACTATTACCTCCCATGTCTTGTACCCAATGCTCCTATTGATACAACCCAAAGCTGCATTCTTCCTTTCTGCGCAGCTGCCTCACACTGCAGACTCGTATTGAGTCTGTGAAGTCCCAGGACTCCTACAGCCTTTGTCACCCACCTAATTTGTGTTTTTAATTATTCTTCCCAAGGTGTTGCATCTTGCATTTGTCAGTATTAAACTTCACCCTGTTTGGCTCTATATTATATAGCTCAGCTTTCCAATTTATCAAGGTCCTTCTGAATTGCCCTCCTGTCCTCCAGTGTGTCTGCAATCCTTCCCAGTTTCCTATCACCTGAAAGTTTGCCCACACAACTCTCCATTGCAGGATCCAAGTCTTTATTAACGATGCTGAACAGCACAGTATCAGGACAGAAGCCTGTGGGACTCCACTCCAAACCTCCTGCCATGGACACATTTCTAGTTACCCTTGCCTTGCAGCTACTGAGCCAGTTGTCTGTCCACCTCGTAGTACTTTCATCTAGCCCATGTTTCCAATTTGTTGATAAGAAGGTCACGTGGGACTTTGACAGAGGCATACAACAGTCCAGTTCAGGATGGGGTTTCGTTTTTTTATCATTGGGGTGCTGTACAAAGAAGGCCGCTCTTGCCCTGACGATCTTATACCCTATTTTGAAACAAGATATATAGCAAAGAACAAGTGAAAGGGGATCTGAAAGAACAGAAGGAACTGTCCACCTCATGCATCGAATATGCACAAATGTGATAAAAATCAAATCCTGCTTTGAACTGAACATCAAAAAAAGGGTAAAAAGGGTTGAAAGAAATTATCAGCAAAAGCTTAGCCTCTGAAAAGATCATTTCTAGAACACAGTGCATTTCAGAACTGCATTTGGTCAAGACTCAAGAGGCTCAGAGCACAGAATTCTTTGCAATACACCTATTAGACCAGGTTTGACTGTCAAAAAGCACAATTCATTTAGGTAAAGTTGTATCAATCACTTCATTCCCAACTTTCAATAAACCAAGGCAGTGCCTCAGTAGCATACCAGCAGTGGCACTACCGAGTATTTATTTAACATGTTGTTTCAGCCATTTTAAGATGTCATCACCAGCACGAAGAGGCTGAGGGCCACCAGGTAGCATCATAAATGGGCACGAGTCAACAATATGGGACACAGTTTAACTTGTCCAAACGGGTACTTGTTGTCATTGCAAAGGCCCCATTGGTACAGGTCTGAGGCAGTCTCCAGTTCGAAAAAGGTTGAGAAGTGCCTTATAACCGTGTGGCCAATTAAATCCTGGTCGCCTGACTGTAGGGTCAGAGATGATGTGCCGACTGATTGATTGCGCTGACCATTCTTCATGTCATCGAGTTGGTAAGAAAGAGTCAAAGGATTTTGAAAGGGTGGACCGTACTGGGCATCTTGAGGGGAGCCAAGCTATTAGTTGGTGGAATATGTCCCAGTGCAGTGGCAGCGTAGGATTATCATGGAGTGATACTACTGAGTGAAATCGGGGCAAGGGATAGTTTCACATGTGGCAGCCAATATTTCAGAAAGGACATCAAACCCCAAGAGGAATCCCTGTTAAGAGTTCCCAGTGACTGTTAAAGCTCAATGAGTGATTGCTCCAGGAAAACATTCTGCCAAAATAGGTTTTTCAGCCCCAAATCCATCAGCTAGACCTACAATCAACAACTGAACGCATCAAGAGTCCAAAGCAAAATGGGCTTTTCTTCTTGCTTTGGGCCCTAAATAACTAAGAGACTGCATTCTTCCTTATGCCCCATGACGATGCCCAAGGTTGACCAAGGGCAACTTCATGTAAGGACCATTAATGCACCAAGTCCACAAGGTGAAAATGCACGGAGATCGTTCTCAGCAGTCACTTCTCAGCTCTGGAGGCCACCAGCGACCCAGCCTGGACATCTTTCAGAAGTCATTCTGCAAACAAAGCTGGGCAGGGGTATTGTTGAGGGGGCTTGTTTTACGCTAATGCTCCAGTTCCCTTTTAAGTTGTTTGGTTCTTTTCTTCATTCTCTTCTTTTAAGTTATTCTGTCCCTTTACTGTAAGCTGTCCTGAGCCTTTGTTGGAAAGGGCAGCATAAAAATCCACCCAAATCAAACAAACGTTGGCTTGTTACCTTACAAATATCAGACCTCCCCTGCCACGGACGTGCTAAAGCTTGTTTGTTAAATGCCGCGGTAGACTCAAGTGATCTAGTGAGCCACGGGCATGTATCTTTGGAAATGGCATACAGCTTCTGAAAACCAGATTGCACAAACTGATTTAGTGCCCTGCAAAACACCATTAGGATTATTACTCTTGCTGCTATAAACAGACTGATCTGGAATCCTCTTACCAGGGAGCAACCTGCCTGAATTAGCAGGGTTTTGCTGAGACGCCTCAGTCTACTGGGCCTTTGTTCCCAAAAGAGGCCTCTGGGTGGTACTGTTATACAAAATGTCTCATGGGTTCCTGAGTACAGTAAAAGCCCTGTTATCTGGCATTTTACTAACCTGCCGGAAACCCCTGTGCCTCAGGTAACCGGCATTCTTAGATTATCAGCACCCCCCATTCCCCACTCATGCCGGAAAACAGGGCTTGTATTGTATTTAGCTATTTCTCCTCAATCCCCCTCTGAAATTGGAAAGTACTATTTTATCCTCATTTTACAAACAGGAAACTGTTTGTAAAATACAAGAAGTTAAAAATATGTTTGCACAAACAAGCAAAAAAACCAACAACCTTGAGGTAATCCTCTACCAGCTTAAGTCATAGGAGTTGCCTGTTCCTTATCTACACTGTCCCCTGTAACCAGCATTTATGAAACCATCCAATATTGCACTTCTCGACCAGATCCTATGGAAAGAGTAGATTAGGGGGCAATGGCAGTGGAGACTCATAACTGGAAGCTCAGCAAAGCTTCAAGGCCCAGGGTGAATGCTGCCAGGGGCGAAGTACAGGAATGTATAGCCTGGACAACTGGGCAGACACAGGCTTGAGGACAACCTGCTTACTGCAGACCTACTCGAAGGAACCTGCTTGGGGTCACACAGTTTGACAGAGTGGGTTCAATGCCCCAATGATGAAATCATCCATCCATCCTTCCTTCAAAAAAACTAAAATATGTCCTATAAGGAAAACAAAGCTACCCGCTAAATAAGGTCACTTTTCCCATAATCTGAACAAGTATTAGACATTAGGGCTGTGCAAAGCTTCGGTTCCCGATTCAATTCGGCAGAGATTTGGCCCAATTCGGTGGCCAAATCTTTGAATCCGAATCGAATCAGGAGACCCTTTAATCTCTCTGAATCGAATCTGAACTCTCCAAATTGATTCGGACAGATTTGGAAAGATTCGGACAAAGACAGCTTTAAATGTTTTTTCTACATACCTCTAGGTAGCAGGAGGCTCATGAATGCTGCGATGCTGGGGAGCATGGAGTGTCCCACAGGAGTGTGGGGGGTGCTCCCCAGTGCGCTTGGCAGTGGACCTGGAAGTGGACCAGAAGCACTTCCAATCCACTTCCAGGTCCACCGGGGAGCACGTGGGGGACCCCGTAGCCCCTCTGGCTTGGCAACTTGTACCTCCTAGGTCTGGGGGGGCACCCGGGGGCCCCCCCCCATGGCTGATCGTCAAGCTGGGGCAACACAGGGGGGCCCCTGCAGACCAGAAGTGCTTCTGGCCCACTTCCAGGTCTGCTGCCGAGCACACATGGGTGTCCCCCCCACTCCTGTTGGACGCTCCATCCGCCCCAGCATCGCAGTGATCACAAGCCATGCTGGTACCTCAAGGTATGTAGAAAAAACTTTTAAAGCTGTGTCTATGTCCAAATCACTGTTTTTCTGAATCAGCATTGAATCTTCAGATACGGATTCGGCCAAATTGAAACAGGCACAGTGATCCAAATCAATTAATCAAATCACTGTCCCTGATTCAGCCTGAATTCGTATCTGAATCAAATAGAGCCTGCTTTGCACACCCCTGTTAGACATCTGGAAACAAAATGTCAAGAGTGGATAATGAGAATAGAGAGTCAAGCTGCTCATGTCTACAGCTACAGGCACAATATGAGCATCTTACCCTGAGGCAGTGAACAGGGGCAAGCAATGGCCTCTTCAGGCAAATGTCTCTAGGTTTCAAAAAGGATGCTTTTCGGGGAAGTGATTATGTTAAAGGCTGGGCCTTCAGAGAACAGTGACAATCAATTGCAGATCAAGCCATTCTTGTTTCCTTTCTCCTAGTGATAACATATATGCACTTCCTAAACATACAAGTGCCCCAGCTTGGGTCTCAGAGTTATTCAGGGATAATAAACTAATAATAGACTAAAAAGCCTATGAAGGTCCCTTCCAGCCCTACTTCTCTATGATTCTACACTCAGAGCCAGTATTAGGAATTCATGATGGCAAACCATCTAAACTTCCAAAATATAAAAGCAGCCAAGACAGAGGTGAGGGCAGGGGGAAGTGAGGTGAGGCTGGAGCAAGAGGAAGAACTGTGAAAAAAGCAGTTTGTGACAATGAATTTAGGGTTACAGTTGCAGAAACGACTTTGCCAAAAGGTAAAAGGGATCAGGGCTTTACCCTGAATCAGCTGCTCTGCAGTAACTGCTTGGATGCACAGTACATGGCAGTTAATTTACCGTCACCTGGCTCTGTGGATGAGCTTCCCCTTACTGCAGGGCAGGGAACCTGCACACGACTGCTGAAGAGCAGGTGACAAGCAGTAAAGCCCCTCTTCCCTTGTCCTGTGGGATGCTGTTTGTATGTCCATATCCTACGCCAGAATTCCTGAGACCGGCATGTGGAAGAGAGCACTGTGCAAGCTTGTTCCTTGCAATCCTAAACTACAACCACAGTTGAAAGCCTGCTTCAGCACAAAGAGCATCTAATTGTATTAAGACATGCTTTCAAATTATGTCCAATATGGCTAGACCCAAGCAGAAATCAAATTAGTTTGTAATGTGAGCAGAACTGCAATCCAGATCCTATAAGAGAAGGCAAACAAATGAGCACTGTATTTCTGGATCCCCTCCCAGCCCTTAAGTTCCCTTCTTACCAATTGTAGTCAAACCAGGATGCATAGCTTGGAATAATGATGTGATTTGTCTGCTCGGTTACGTTGTCTTCACCTGCATCAATCGATCGGCTCTGATCACCTTTATTAGGATCTTCATCTTCCTGCATCACAGGAAAGAGAAACAATAAAAATATATCAACTAAAAGAAGTGGGAAGCAAGCAGGTAAAGTGGCACTGAACTACCACATGGTTACATTAGTCCAAAACAATGGCTTCTGCCATTATCAGAAGAATAACTTCACTGATCAACTGGAAAAGCCTTAATGAACAAGTTGATCTAAATTCACAGCAGAGCTTTCCATAGTGTTCATGTTCCCTTAGTTTTCAGAGGATCATTTTCCCTTGACCTAATGAGCTAGGAAGCATAATCTAACAACAGTAGAAAGTAGGCTTTGCAGCTGATATTTAGGGTACAATGCTCACATGTGTAGTGAACACACAGGTTGGTTGGGGGAAAACGTTCACAGAAAAAGAAGAATGAGAGACAGGCTACACAGTAAACCTGCTGTGCTGCCAGTGGCACCTGAAGGCAGGTAGCATGGTCAGCATGCATGAGGGCACTGGTGCCTGGCACAGCGAATTTACTCTCCAGTTCTGGCTGAACTGCTCATGCATTCGACTAAACACTGATGGAGACGCAATGTGTCTGAACAGCAGCAAGTGAGCAAGCCACAATTGCACTGTTGTGTTCTCTGCCAACAAGCCTTTTACCTTAACGAGGCGTTAAGATGGCCTGGGGCTGTCCCATGCCCTCCTTAAACTTCAAAATGGTCAGACAACCCTCTAACAGCCCAGGAACCTCTGCCGAGTCCCCATAACTCCACTGCCTTAATCAACACAGTGGGACTCTGAAAAAGCAGGTTATTTGTGGAAAGAGCTGCTAAGCGCACTTTAATACATCCAAAAAGAGAGAACTTTTTTCAAGCACAGACAGATGGGTCCAGGATGGCTGGAACTGAAAAAGAATGGCAGTAGGAGGTAGTGGGCTGCCCAGAGACCAGGAAAAGAGACTGTTTTGCAAGTGGGCATCCTACACACTGATGAAGATGTCCGTCTCCAGATGGGCCATCTAGCCACCATCCAGAATGTCAAGTGAACAACATCAGCTTCCAGTGCAATGTGTGACACTGGTCTGGGGACACGTCAGAGAAAGATGCACTAGCGTGGTCCGTTGAGAGGCTCATCAGCTCAGAGTACCAGAACTGCTGTACCCAAGCTGGAGCTACCATGGTATGGCCCAAATCCTGTCTGAACTCTCTGAGGAGTCTGGAGATGGTGGGGAGGAGAGAGAAGGGGCAGAACAGCCCCAGGAAGAGAAATGCATCCAAAGAACATGGATTAGCACCTACCCAGAAGCAAAATAATTAACTCTTATTTTAGCACACACTGGGTGCATCTACACGTTCATTAATGTGCCATAATTACCGTGCATTAAGTTTAGTACCAGTAATAACAGGTACTAACTTAATGCACCATAATCCATGCTACTGCGCATTAGTGCAGATGAACTGGTTTTTCTGCACACTTTTTGCATGATGGGCTAATATGAAGTAAAATTAGTCTAATGCACATTTAGCATCTCATGTAGATACCCCCACCAATCCTGTCAGAAATTCAGAGTGCTCTTCTACGTATTGCCCCTCCGACTCCCGCTGTGATACCCAGGCTGGATACTGGGGGTGAGAAAAAGAGAACTTTTCTGTACCCTGGAAAAAGGATGAGAACTGGAGACCTTGTTTGATGCAGATGCAGTTCTAACAAGGGTACTAAGTCAGCACAGTTAACAGGAGAGGCAAGACTGGAAGTAATGGTGCTTGGAAGAATATGACATGTGCTTCAAGAGAGGCCCAGATATTGACCTACAAATAGCTTAGCCAGTACCCTGAATAGCTTCAGTCCCACAGTGTCTCATGCTAAGGGACAAGTTGACACTAGAGGGAATGAAGGGTCCTGGTGCCTAGAACAGCACTATAAAGGTACAACGCCAGGGGCAGTGCAGGAATCATGAGATGCAAGAACAGCCTGTGCCTGCCTCCTCTTCCATGCTGGGTCATCAGAATGATGCCCAAAGCAGACCTGGAGGACTGCTCAGAGAGGTTACATGTTTAGAGATACAGATGATAATCTGTGCTTGGACTCCCAGCTGCGCTGATTTCTCCCTCACGCTGATGGTGTTGAAGTGCAGGGGGGGCTGAGAAGGGAAACCACTAGCAAGGCAGCAGAGCTGAAGTTTGCTGATGCCAAGGCAGGGTAAGGCTGATTTTTTCCAGGTTTCACTTGAGGACAAGGAGAGGCAAAAGCCAATGGCTGCACAAGACTTTTCCAGTTAAAATAAAACCTACAAGCTTCAGCCACATTTCCATCTTTAAACAGTCATCTTGGAAAATACTACATTCTATGATGTGGCCTTCTTGCAGACGATAAGGCATCAACAACCCATGTAAAGGCAAACCAAAATGATCAGGGGCCTGGAGCCGTTGCCAGACCAGGACAGACTGAAAAAGGCTAAAACTCTTTGGCTTGGGTGTGGACTAAGTGAACAGGGAACCGTTGTTCACCAAGTCCCAGAATACTACAAACAGGGAGCATGCAATGGAGATGGTTTAAAACTATCAAGACAAATTAGGAGACAGGTTTAAAACTAACAAGATAAAAATATTCACCGCCACAGAAGGTGATGGAAGCAGACAGCACAGCCAGGTTCAAAAAGGGACTGGACACATTTGAGGATGATAGCTCTAGTAACGGCTGTTGAACTGAATGGTTAGAGAGGTTTCCTCTGGTATCGCTAAACCTACTATGTCGGCTGTCAGGGAGGGTACTGAATAGGGGATAGATCACTCTAGAGATACCCAGTTCAATGCTCTCTTTCTGTCTATAGCATCCATTTCTGCCACTGTCGGAGACAGAATACTGGGCGAGATGGACCGCTGGTCTGACCCAGCGTGGTACTTCTCATGTCCTTATGCCAACAAGTATATTTGAGTGACTGTTCACAAAAAAACCAAACAACCAACACGGGCTCCAAGGGTCTAAATCTACTTACTGTGAGGGCAGATGTCCCAGACTCTAGGGGAGAATGTTACAGAGAAGTCCAGTGCTTCAGAATATATATTTTTTAATTCTAGCCAGGAATTAGGAGCACTGAACAACGGGGCCCTTCATGTTTGACCTAAAGCAAGATGTACAATTTGCATTTGTGCAACACTGGCACTTCATGCTTCCTTGCCCAGCCCTTTGCTGCACCACAACACACGGGTCCTGTGGGCTGCCCCACTCCACCCTCAGGGACTGGGGCAGGAAGCAGAAGCTGAATGAGGGGGGAAAAGCCTGGTGGGCAGCAGCAGGAGAGAAATGGCACTTGGACAGGAGCCCCTCCTGTGTCACATGCAGCCCACAGACCACCAGTTGGACAGCCCTGATAAGGTGTGGTCCTCTCCTCTCTCAGACTTCCTGGATGAGGGTTTTGGGAGTAGAAACGGTCATCCATAAACCTCCAGGTCTGGATGGAGGGGAAAGAACATGAGCTGCTTCAGGGTTTCATCTTTATTTGGACTTGCAAGTCACTGGATCAAGGTGCAACAATTTGTTCATCAGTTGTGTCGGGGAGCACTTAAGTCTGGCAGGGAAATACAGATGCATTTCCTCTGGCTACAAAAAGCTGTTAAACTAGTATACTACCAACTGCTGACTCTATGCCACGTGCTGGCGTAAAAGAATCAAGGATACCAGAAGATGTATCATGCTGAGGGACTGTTGGGGAAACTACTGGCAGTAATGCGCTTAAGAAAAATTGATGGATATTGGTTGAAAAAAGGTAACTGTTGGAAGAAACAGCTCTTGTTGTAAAAACATAATAGGATTAAAGAATATGGCAATATGGGTTCCTAAATACGATGTGGAGGGTAGGAATGGTGGTTATTCAACATTTTTAAAGCTTTAATTGATTGAATTTTTTCCTATATAATCCCAAGTAAAGAAAGACTGATCACATATGGAGTATGGGTGTTAAACAGATATGTGCCTGAACCAGCTAGAAGCAGAAAAACTGTCGTCCAGCCAGATTTCACAGGCAAATTAATTCATGGATTAAGACAGAATAGAAACTAAGCCTAACTCTTAGCACCCATGCAACCCTATCTGGGAGAGGCAGTCCTGCCCTTCCTCATTCAGTTCTGAAGACTCAGTGCTTCCCTGCCTTCATCCTCTAACAGCTCACAGTGTCCGTGCTCCAGTCTGCATAATGCATTAACGTGCGTTAAAGTGATCAAACACTGGCCTTTAAAAAACAAAACTATTCCTTCCCCCTCCAACACAGAGAAGTACATTTGCCCAGGAAAAAAAAACTGCTCTGGCAATGGCTTAGTATAAAAAAAAAAAAGTATATAGTATAAGTGCTGCACAAAACACACTGTTCCTGACTCCAGGATGTTGCTCACTTAAAGGGTAGACACCCACACACGCAGAACATGAGGGCACTGCTGCTTTTCTGGCATGTATTTTACCTTGTGTACATACATGGTGTCTGTTCATCAGAAGTCTGCTCCAGCTTGGATTATGAGTTTAAAACTGGCATTTAGTTTGGAACTAAATCCGGCTGTTTTAGTTCATGTCTCTCTGCTTAGGTGCTTAATTATCTGATCATTACAGTGATAATCAAGTTCCTAGCAAAGGTGATTACTGAAGAGAGGAGCAAGCTGCAAGTGTACTGCGATTTTCTTTTCTCTCCCCATTTCAAATGGGACAACAGGTTTCGATGCTTCCAACAACCAAGTACGCACCTGATCTGATGTAAATAAAATATGCACCTGAAATTCAGTAAAGCTGGAATCACATAAGGACAGAGGTCACAGGTCGCATTTTCCAGAGTTAGGTGTGCAACTACAAACATCCCTTAGCAGCATGCAGAGATCTACGTGGCATCTGTGTCTAACATGCCCATCTTCAAGCACACACATCTAACTTTGAGACTCTGGCCCTGAGCTTGTATACAAAGTCAGTGACCAGTCAATGCTCCTTCACAGCAAGGCTATTTACTGCCAAGATGTAAGTCACCACATTTCTGAATAGGAGTCCTACAGGACACAGGGCATACTTGCCCTGCTTTTTAAGGCTGACCCTTATGGTTGCCTTCAATTACCCAGAGCCACATGAGCTATTATTCCTAGCCACTGCTTCCCATCTATATTACCTTGTGGCAGCTATGTGCAATGCACAGGAGAGAAGCAGGTTGCAGACTGATTCCTGAAAGGGCACTGCTCAAGAGGGGCTTGTCTTTCTCTCTGTGCTTGGCTCCAATTACAGGAAGGCTGGTACAAGAAATTGTAGTATTGCAGCTGGCAGACAGCCAGCATCCTACCTGGGGTGCCCATGGAAATTGTGGACAAATTGTGAGGAAGGCTAGGTTAGGAAGGCACAACCTCTGCTCTGATACCCATGACAATGTCTAGAGGTGGGCTAATGTGTATTAAGACAGGCAGATTTGGGCTAGGTGGCCCTAAGTAGAAGTGCAGAGATGCTGCGTCTAAACAAGAAAAGGAACAGCCCAGGTTCTGTGCTCCCCCCTGAAACTCTGCTGAGGCTGTCTGTCTCCTCAGATCCCAGTTGCTGACCACACATTTTATAAATACACAGTAACCTTTCTATACTGATTCAATTTTCTTTTCCTAGATAAGGAATTATTTCATGTTGACAGAAGAAAGTCTTTCACCAGGAATGGTTTTATTCTTCTGCCCGACACAAATGAGAGCAAATTAAAAGGGGTGGGGACTTACTGCTTTGTCAGCTACTCCAAGGTTAACTGCCCTATGCCTACTCTTACGCTCTGGAAAGTGAAAGGTGGACTGTGGTGGCTTAGCTCTTTCACAGAGGGGACAGTACTGCAGTTCAGCTTTTGCTTACTAAGGGGGATGGGGAGGGAGGGGAGGTGCGCACGTGGGCAATAACCTTGGAGCAATGAGTGCACAGCAAGTCTGTGTTTCTAATCAATTTGCTGAAATTATGCTTTCATCCATTCCCTTCAGAACAATTGCTATTTGAATTCTTGAAGGTCAGATGAAGGTTATTCCCTACCCAATTTCTGACAGAACAGTTGTTACCTTTCCTCCTGCAGCCACTGTCTCTTCATCTTGTTCATCTGCAAGGTAAGAGGCACAGCATGAAACACTGCCAGGAAATGCATCTGGATTACTACGCTTTTCTAATACAATCAATTAACTGGGCAGGATTGTGTTTGTTTGGGGCACAGGAGGTGAGAAGGGAGAAAGGAGCATGGACTGTACATCAAAAACTAATCTCGTCGTTATGGACATAATGAGTCACACAAAAGAAAGAAGGGGATAGGAACAGAAATACAGGGAAAGGATAATTACAGTCTCTCAACACTTGGGGATTCATAATTAATTACTGGTTAGCCTACTGCCCTGGATGCACCCTTTCATAATAGGCTGTAGGCAGCTTGTTCAGGTCTCTAATATCTAGTGCCCAGCCAGCCATGTTCCACAATGATTTTCTCCGGTTCCCAGTAGAGAGAAAGAAAGGGTTTGCCTAAGAAAGGCTGACACACTTAAGAGCACACAGGATGCCTGAAAGAAAACAGCCTCAAGAGAGGCAAAAGAATCTTTTTTCCTGTTGCTGATTTGAGTGATAGGAGTTAAACATGAAGCTGAGACTCAACAGATGGAAATGAAACAGGCAGAGTAAAGAAGTGTAGCACTACAATGATCTTAACTGTAAGCATCTTTTCTGGCACCTTGTAAACATGGGTCTATTACAGAAGTAATGTAAAATAAATTCATTTTTTTTTACCTAGGTCTGCTACTGTTCCTCCTTTCACCGGGGTGTTTTCACTGTCTTTCTTTGGGTTCACTATAAAAGGTAAACCAGACTGAGAATCCAGTGTGCCCCCAAGTCAAGATACACTATAAGCCCACCAGTCTCTCCCATAACACTAGAATATCCCATGGTGTTACCACACTGGGTTCCCCAAGTTGCCGCTAAAGCATGTAGCTGACATACAGGGGTAGTGTTTTCAAACTGAAACCAAGAAAGCTATTCCATGGCCCAGTATGTTCCATGCCCCATACTGCAAAAACAAGCCAGTTACCACACTTCAGATTTAAACCATGAAAATAAATCCATTTAAAACAGCCGCAGGAAACATGAACACAAACAGACCAGTGGTTTCTCTAGTCCAGTATCATACCAATAACAGTAATGTACAGCTGTCTATTCAGAGAAAAAACCCCTTGCAAAAACAGGGAAGTGCCTGTAATTCTCTCTCGTCCTTCAGTGTTCACTATTCTTCTGTCTTAAATCACCTATGCCTCTCTCAGCCTTTTGCACCTTACGTCCCACCAACCATTTTGTCAAAAAACTTTGGTCCCACCACGATAAAAACAAAACTCCACTTTTTCCAAGAAGTTTATTTTTATGTTCAGTTGGAAATTTTGAAGGATATTAAAGTCCCACCTACACAACCTTTGCATCCCACTGGTTGAGAAACAGTGACCTACCTATGCTACATAGATTATCCAACCCATTTTTAGAATCAGCCATATTTACTGCTAGTCTACACTTACATTTAGAAAAAGAGAGATTCAGATTTGACTGGAATTTATTAAGAAAAATATTACAACAACAACTTATGGTGGTTGAGGAAAGGAGAACGGTGGCAGGAATTGAAGGACAAGCCCAGAATTGTGCAAAAGAAAACCCTCCTCTTTGACTGTACTTTAGCTTGCTCTGAGATCCTGTTCTGGAAGCAGAACCAGCAGAACGCAGAATAAGCTAGAGAGTGCGTGAAGGAGAAGCTTCCTCTGCTTTACACATTTCCCAAAAAGAGTTGTCCCCAGAGCTTCTCAATGCCGGACGGCATAAACAAACTGACATCCCTTAGCGTGGCAGTTAGATTCATGACGCTGGATCCTGCACATCTATCAAACCAGAATGACAGTTTGCTTTGCTGGCCATATGCTCACAGTTCGTGAGAGGTCAGATCTGCACAGTTTCAGAGGACAAAAGATCTATTTGTCTAGAGGAAGACTCAGCTTCAAAGAACTGCCACAGATTTCATTCTTATACGTGCTCGGGTTACGCTTTGTTCTGAGCAGGGAGAATTACACAGCTACCCCCTCCCCCCAAATCACCAACTACTGAATTCTTATCTGCAACTTGCCATAAAATGTCCCAAATGCTTTGCTCCCAAGGATAGGTATCAGAGCAAAGACTTCATAGATTTCATAGACATTAGGGCTGGAAGGGACCTCGGAAGATCATTGAGTCCAGCCCCCTGCCCAAGGGGCAGGAAGTCAGCTGGGGTCATAGGACCCCAGCAGGATGAGCAGCCAAATTTCTCTTGAAGGCGTTCAATGTAGGTGCATGAACCACCTCGAGTGGCAGGCTATTCCAGACCCTGGGGGCTCAGACAGTGAAGAAATTCTTCCTTATGTCCAGCCTGGATATGTACTGAGCTTGTTTTGTTCTTCACCCAGTGTTTACTGTATTAAGAAGCATTGGTCTCAAGTGTTACACCAAAAGATCAGGAAACTGAACACACTGGCTTTATCCCTAGCTCATTAACTGAGGCCATGCACAAGCATTACATTCCTACCAGGAGAATCATGTCTGTTGCTTCTCCCAGTAGAAGCAAGAAGCATTCATTCAGTCCCTCCCGGGAGGAGACCTGCCCTGTCCAGAAGAAAGATCTTGCAGGTGTCAGCATGCTCCCCTCCCAGTCTGGTCTGGGAGGAGTGGGGAGCAGCAAGGCAGTGTTCCCCACCTCTTCCCCAGACCAGGGACTGCCCAATTCGGGGAACAGACTGGGGGCTTGGCCCTGCTGCTGGACTAGTTTGGGAGGGGACTGGAGCAGCAGAGCAAAGCCCCCTAACACACCTCACAAACCAGGATCCCCAATCTGAGGATTGAGGGCTGCATTTGTGAGGCTGCTCCCACCAAGAGAAGGAAGGAGCAGAAGAGCAACTGATCCTTGCTCCCTCTCAAAAAGCTATACCATATATAATTTTACTTAGTTATGTGGGACACATGAAGTCTTAGATATTCAATCTACCATGCTCTTGTCTTCACTGGAGTTTCCATAAAACTTATTTCAAAGAAAGAAGGAATTAAAGGTCGGTTTCACCATTTCCACCTTTCAAAACCCTGCTGAAACAGTAGCAGATGTGCACACACCCCACAAGAGCGGGCTACTGCAGAAGTAGCTTCTCAAACAATTTGGTAAAATACGCAGTGAAAACACTGTACAGTGTTCGGTAAATGGCTGACTATTCAAAAACCCAGCGTCACTAGTAGCATGCAAACAATACCATTTTTGGGAAGTACCACTTCTTCTATGTTGGGTACAGGTGTTGGGTCTTCCATGTCCTTGGTAAGATCTTCTTGCTCATCCTCTTCTTTTTGACCTCTCCTTTTCCCATACAGACCTGCTTGTCTAAAACAGAATGAACACAAATAAACAGCTGGAAGGGGTACCTACCATGCATTTCAATCCCACCAGCTCTCCCAGGTTAACAGGGTTGGGTCAGGATGGTATGTTCAAGGTAACAGATGTGGTAGGAGTGGTCTTGATGATTTGTAGATAGCAATATACATTTGAAGAGAAGTAACAGTCTCGTGCTATACTATGGTGCAATTCCTGCATCCTGGTCAAACTGCAACTCAAAATGTTGCACTCTATACAATTTAAATATCTCCTGCATATTCAAAGAGGTAGTTTTCATCAAATCCTTTCTTGAGCAGGGCTGCTTTTCACTACTGAAACAGCACCTACATTTCAACCTGGAGATGGCTGTATTTTAGATGCTGTGTTAAAACACCAGGGGTGATGTCCTTAATATTGGTGAGATTAGACAGGTTAGTAGCCCATCTATGCCTGTCATTCTCAATTCCAATTAAGGCCCCAAATTTTGCAGAATATGTTATTGCTCAATTAGTAACCTGCTGAGCCAAATCCAAAAAATAATTTATAAAAATGTCTAGAGGCAACCAGCAAAGGATTTTTTAAAATCTGTCTTAGGATATCAATCTAGTTTCCTCATAAGAACATGCTGGGGGCTTCCAAGCTTTGAACTGGTCTACTTTTGTACAAAATGTTCATTAGTCATTGAAATGAAAACAGGTCTACCAAAAAGCCACAACCAAAGTTTAAACACAAATATCAACTAAAAATCACTTCCTTTCTTTACTGCTCAAACCCTTGGTTCTTATTTCCTTAAATCATCAGTGCCATGAGACTTTTGCTTAAAAAAGGCCCACCTGCCTAATAAAATTTAGAAAGCCCTCACAAACCTGAAACATGAATCATACAATAGCAAAGCTTCTCCTTGGAGGAAAAATGATTTTCAGGACTTATTTATAGCTCAAGGCAGAGGGCAAGTCATTTACAGATCAGCAAGTGCTAGCCTGTGTTAAAAATTTGCATTAAAATGTAAATGGATTTAAGCCTCCAATTACAGTTGCAAACTCCTCAAACTATTAAATAGTTTTAAATCCCATTTCAATTGGTTCAGCTCAAATACATTTACAAATGAAATGAAAAACAACGTAAGCAAGGTTCAAATCTTCAGAGCACCTGCCATGGGTTTGTAGGAATGTAACCAAATCAATGAGGAACAGTGGTCCTTATTAGAAAAAGTTGCACAAACCGTAAGTTTGACTGCTAATGATACTAGCATTGCAATGATGGAGCTCATTAGGCTAAGAGTAATGACTGCACTGGGCTTGCCTTTATTCACCAAGGAGAAAGCCTAGCCTGCAAATGAAGGTATTCAGTGTGCAGCATTAAAAATTCATGTAAACCTATTGCAAAAGGAGAGTTATGTTAACACAGCAGCTGAAAGTTGGGGAGAAGAAGAGGGAGGTGATTGCTGAGCCAAGTCAGTCCCCAGTTGTGGACCCCACACACTCACCCTTTTTTTCCAGTCTTTTTCCTTGATTCCACTGGAGTGGGAGGAGGGGAAGGTGAATGCTTTCGTTTCCTGGTGCTTGCTGCTGCTTTTCTGTCTCTCCTCTCAGGACTACGCACAGGCTGGTAGAGAAGCAAAGTTGTCAGTCAGTACCAATTACTGCAGCACTGAAATTGAGCAGCCTGTCACCCTCTCCTCATATGTCCTCCAAAGAGCTAAAAGCATTTCACTTTTAAACAGCATTACACCAACCATTAGGTTATGCTTCAGAGTACCTGCATTCTCAGCATGAGAAATGCTTGACGTTCCTATTCTCCTATAACTGCTGGCATGGTTATGTGCCAGACAAATGGACTCCTGAACCTTTGCAAGGTTTGAATGCTAGCTTTCGACTCATCTGATGTACTATGCCCATTCACAAGGTTAGATTTAAACTAAGCATCTGACAAAATAGGTGTTTCATAGCTGTTGCTATGAAAGCTCATGCCTCTCTAAATCAGTTAATCTCCAAGTCCTGTCTTCTGCCAGATTTTACCCTGAAATCTTAGTTCTAAAAATAGCATTTTCATGGTCTTCCTCGCAACACTGAGGAAACGGACAGAGGTAACATTTACAACAGTGTAATCATGATCACACCAGGTTTGAAGGAATAGCAGACAGAAGAAACTTAAACTGGTGTGACTTATAACAGTTTAGGCCTGATTTGGGGGGGGGGGGTAGGGGGGGGGAAGGGAATTGTTCTCCATTGGACTGCGTGAAGTTATCACAGTTAAAAGGTTTGCAGCATCTGCTTGCATCCATCCCAGGGTAGCTGTTTATTTAAAGGTAAATGGGCTATTCCTTGCTCTCCTCTCCCATTGCTTAGTGAATGAGGCACAGACTTGCCCTAAGGTAACTGCACATCTGTCCAGTCCCGATGCCAGTAAGATTTCAGCCCAGGTTATGCGTATGTCTGTCCACATCCAGAGGGACAAATGAAGGTTAGTAAGCTCAGCACATGCAGGTACAGAGAAATGTCAATATTTAGTACTTGGACTGATTCTGAATCAGTTTAACCCAATTTGAACTGTGTATGGAAGCAAAGTCTCTACCCAATATGTTCTGAATAGAAAAGACCTACAATGACAAAGGGAGCCACCAAACCCATCCAAGATCTAGAAGTGTGTCAAGTGTACATGAGATCTGCTTGTTGGTTCCTGAAAGACTAGAAGCTAAAATTTTAAGAGTTCTCATTTGTACAGCAGTAAGGAACATAATTAAAACCGCTAAATCAACAAGTCACCCGCCAGCAAGGACACCCCATACCTCTTCATTCTTCATAGAGATTCGCTGCCGAAAGCTCACTGGCTTCCTATTCTCATCCACTTCATAATCCTCTTCATTCATCCACTCGTTAAATACGTCCGTGTCTAAAATCCATTTGGTATGAACCTAAAAAGGTAAATCCAACAAATCTCAATCCAGAAGAAGAATCCTACTCATGCTAGTATTTCTGCATCAGCTGTGAACTTGAACAGACTTCTATGACTAATTTCAGAAAGAAGAAAGGGAGTACATGCAATGCAATGAGAAAAGGGAGTACATGCAATGCAGTTACTGAAGCCTGGTGCTGCAGTGGTTTTCAGCCTGTGGTCCACGAAACCCTTGGGGGTCCGCAGACCATGTCTAAGGGGTTCGCGAAAGATGACTATGATCAATCAAAAGTATGTGAATACCTACACTTACAATTCAATGGGTCTGCACCTCCATTTGAAATTTTCAAAGGGGGCCGCAAATGAAAAAAGACTGAAAATCACAGTTCTAAATTGTGTGCATCAGTACATCCCATGGTCTTGCTGTTGGGACTGTACTGCCATATGAATGAGTCACTCTGGAACCTAGATGACAGTCATCGCACCTTACTGGGATACTCTGGTTACAAATCGAAATTTGAAAATAAAGAGGCTAGGGCTAATGGTTCAAATTTCTTAGGAGAAAAAGCTAGAAAGGGAAAAGATGGACCAACCCTTTGCAACGTCAGCATTTTTGGGCAGACAACTGCAGTTATGTAGATTCACTTATTGCCTACTTCTGAACTATGTCAGCAGCTCTCTGACATCCACATGTGAAAGTCTGGAGAGTTGAACAACAAAAAACTACAGATGTAACTCCAGCTGAGATGTTTTTGAGTGCCCCTGTTTTTGTCAACTAAGGCTTTTTAAGCAAAAAAAATGGCTTTAATTATCAAACAAAATCCCCAATACGCTATCCTTGCTTTCATCTTACTTCAAAGAAGTACTACTTTCACCCTGGTCCAGGCTTCCAGAAGTGTGGAAGATGACCAAGATCCTCTGCCACAAGCAGGAAGGAAGGTAGCAGAATAAACTCATGCAAATTTTTAAGCTAAGTATAGAAGATCCTCTAGAAATCCTTGAACAAATACTGATTCATAAGAGAGACATCTCTAAATAGGCTTTTAATAGTCAAGATGGGCTCTTGAACTTAGCTTTTTATACTGAAAAAATGTGAAGTGTTCAAAAGAGTTATTATAAAATTAATTCCTCCTCCAATCTATCAAAGAAAAAATTAAAAAGCCTTCTTCAACCTGATCTGCCTACTTAAAGTCCTCAGCCAATGGATAACAAAAACAGAAAGCATTTCATTTTACTAATCATAAATTGATGAGTCGTTCAATAACTGAACAAAGCAATCTTTATTACTTGTTTGTTAGAATCGTTTCCTCATGTTACTCTCTTTCAATGAAATAAATCAGAAAACACTGTTCCACAATCCGACCTCCAACCACATAAAAGACCTAAACAAGGCTGCCATTGTTGTTTCAGACCCTTACAAATTCAACAGACCAAGCAGTGTTGACTTGATTTTCATAGCTAATAGCATCGGTTATGGTCAGAGTTCCAGTTTAAGTGAGACTACTAAACAAAAAGATACTGACGCATAGAGCGATTCATAAATGGTAATTGCTTTTCGTACACATGTTCAAGGGTAATACAGCCTCAATATTATATTCGCAGATCTGCCACAATTTCCTAAGGCTTTTGGCAGCCTGGTCCCTCCAAGAAACAGAAGCTCTGCATTGCGTGCTCAGTGGAGCTTGCAGAAACTGGCATCTACATCAGAACGGAGCCAATTCCTTCCTCCCCCCCTACCAATCCAACACCTTCACACGCTAGAGTGAGCACAGGAAATTGGGAGAGGGGAGAAACAAGGGCAGCCCTCACTTGATTTTGTCCACCTCAGCCCAAAATGACTAACAGGTTATTTCAATCAAAATCAGGCTATGCCTCCACCTACACTGAATGCCCTTGGAACTACAGAAACCGGTGTTGGTGACTCAAGAGGCATCACACACTTCCCCTCTCAGTACTAAACAAATGCCCCAAGAGGCTGCTAAGGAAGTTATGCTGCTGGATTTTCAGACATCTTATACCAGAGGTGCTCAAATCTGTCCAGTGGAGCCATGGCATCCAGCTCACAGGGATCCCCCCGGGCTAGGAAATAAGGTGGTAGGGGGGTGGTGGAAGTTCTGCAGTCAGATCCAGCCCTGGTCCAGCTGGGCCAGACTACTGCTGTACAGGCAGTTCAGGCCCGGGCCCTCCCTTGCACAGCTAGATACGGTTGCTCCTTCCCACCCCTACCCCTCCACCAGCACATCCGGACCAGGGCCAAGCTACTCCCTGCAGCTAGATTGGATGCCTACCACACCGTCCCTGCATGCCAGGTTGAACCTACCAGCTGGATTTGTCCCATGGACAGACCTGGCATTGCTAATGAGGCCTACAGGGCAAAAAGGTTGGGCACTACTGTCTTGTTTCAGCTTGTCATGGTATAAGACAGGAACAGGTTAATGGCTGCCTGCCATTAGCACAGCACTGAGCAGGGGCTGACAGAAGATGCATGCCTTATTTCCAGGGCAGAGAAGAACAAGAGGAAAGGCCTGTGGTCTGCTCTGGTCACAGGAGCAGTGTTGTTTTGTCTTACTGTGTGCTTAACCAAGTTATGCACGGAGGCAAGGGCCTGAAAAAGAGCCTGCCATAGATATAGATAGATGGTGGGACAGCCCATCAGCTTATACACAGACAAGGTATTCATCACTAGGAGCAGCAAAGAGACCCAGGAACTTTTGGCAGGAGTGCAATTAGTGGACATTTACATGACAGTAGGGCCTAGAGACCAATCGCACCCAGGCCCAATTGAAAGTGCATTAGCCCTACTGTTCTAAGGAGACCACACTGCGATACAGCCTGTCTCAATTCCTCCTGAAATTTCATCACGTTATTGCACTTTTCACGTCTGCCCCAAAGCTCAATATAATAAAGCCGTGCCCAAATAACCAGCTGCCAAGCTGCAGCCCAGAGGAGGCTGAAGTTCACTTGTGGGAAATGAAATTCCTGTAGCATCAGGGACTTGAAAGGAAGCCTAAACAAATGCAGGAGTTGTATTTCGGATAAGGGCCACATTGTGTGCTCCTCTAAAAACCACATTATATATTTCACACTGCTGCTTACTTTCAGCCCCAAAGTTTTCAGATGTGCTAACTATGATCCTAGAACCACTGCTTTTGACATTTTCCATATTTTTACTCATACCCACAGGGAGCATTCCCCTCAGTCTTCCCCACCTCCAATACCACCTGATGATGTCACTTACCATGAAGTTTGAAATGTCTTTTCCCCTCCACCCCCTACAAAAAAACCCTTCTCACCTTCCATGGTTTTTCTGGAATTGGAGGATCTTCAATTTCAGCATCTATATCACTAGCATGCACCCAAGTGTCATAGCTAAAAGAGAAGTCAGAAAAGAAAAATGAATTGCTCCTGTGTTAATTCATTCAAAAAAAAAAAAAAGAGAGAGAGAGAGTCATAGACAAGAGCATTTACTGAGCAATCAGAGCATGTTCAAAGCAGACCCCCAGGACTGAAGCATCACAAATGAATACCACATTAACAACAGGAACATTTGCTCACTTCCCTTAGAGGAATAATCCAAGGAAATGCAATTGGTAAAGACAACAAGCAGCCCCATGCAGTATGCCAATGTATTATTTACATTCAGAGACGTACACAAGCTCACTGCATACATTTCCTAGCAGCTTCAGATTTCAGTGGTCTGCGGGGAATTTCTGAGTAGCTACCTCCTATGCCGATATACAAGTTTATTAAAGTACCTCCTTCTCTCATTAGTTTGAATTCAGACCTCTGAACTCCTAGTGCTTCTCCTGCTGTGGAACCCATCTAACCATTATTTATCTGTTTCACCTACCAGTATGACATCCCACAAAACCTGAAGATGATGATAAGGCTATAAATAAACAGGCCACTTGCTCTTTGCTCTGTTGCTGCATCATGTGCTTTGTTCCAGGCTTGATAATCAGCAGGCTGTAGTATTTTTATAGAATCATAGAAAATTAGGACTGGAAGGGACCTCAGGAGGTCACATCTAGTCCAACCCCCTGCTCCAAGCAGGACCAGCCCCAACTACATCATCCCAGCCAAGGCTTTTCCTTGCTTTTATTTGGCCTGCCTAAGTCCTGCTTGGTATATGAACGCAGTCGGTTCATAAACCTGACTGCAAGTGATCTCAGACTGCATTTGAACTCTAAACAGTGCCTTTAAAAACCAACGTTGGAAGGTTCCATATTTATTCTCAATAACTTCTAGATCCAATCGGTTTGGTTTATAGAAGTAGGGGGCAGAGGGTTGGGGGTATTTTCATACACAATAAACACCAAAAAGGACTTGAAAACATAGTTGTGTTCTGCCTCTTACACACCCCAGCAGAGTAATAAGGATCATAAAGCTGGAACTCCATTATCAGCTGTGCTTTTCAGTGAGTAATTATCCATAAGAACAAAACTGCCAAAAAAAGCATTAGACTCTCCCCATCTCCCGAGGTCTTCAAATGAAGACTGAATGCCTTTCAGGAAGATAAGACCCTTCTGGCGTTAAGTATAAGAATTTACAAAAAGGCAATGAGGCTCAGGGGATTTAGGTTCAATTCTCAGCTCTACTAAACTTGTCATGACCTCTCTGTATTGACGTAAGCGGCTATGTCACTGTAGATTTGTGTCTTAAAGACATTTTTAGCAGAAATACACAAAGTTTCTGGATACGGTAAGAATGGTAGTATTATTTCTTTGGTACTAGGCAGCAGTGAGACCAATACTGAGCTTGTTTCTAATTCTAGTCTGCTGCAGAAACCATAAAAAAAAAAATAAAACCCGATCATTTAGACAGATGGAGCATAAAAGGTTGGAGAGGAAAAAAAGAAGAGGGCTTCAACTTTTTACATGGAACAAACAGGCCTGAAGCGATGGCCATATTCTGTGAGGATAGAAAACGGCAGTATGGCAATCAGCCAGAGTTAGGTATCACTCGTTTGTTCTGGAAATCGTGATGATGAAGTTCATCACCGCTGCAAAGCAGAAGGTGGGTCGATACCAGGAGAAATAAGACTTGATAATCTAGAGGAACAGTAACTCTGTAGTAGATGATAACTTAAATCATCTGCAATATCAAACTGAGACTTAGCACATTTCTCCCCTTTGACCCCTTTTCATTACCTGTCTGGGTAAAAGCCCCAGTGTACCAGCACTTGCTTATCCTTTTTCATCACAGGTCTCAACCATTCATCTGCAACAAGGGGAGGGAAAAAGTCAGTTTTAGGTTGCGAGCAGCCTCACACAGTAAATTCCTCTTCCATAATCACACAGAGCAGGGTTTATTTCAGTTGCCTCTGCCAAATGTCAGATAAGGTAGGGAAGCTGCAGCTCTCTGAAGATTCATTTCCTTAATTCATCCAGCTATAGCATGCTACAGGAAAGTAGCAAGACAGCAGCAGCCATTTCCCTTCGGATTCTGCATCTCACCAGACCAAGCTAAATAAGATCCATATTCCCAACAAAAAAAAAAAAAAAAACAAAACAAAACAGGAAAGCAAAACCAGACCATTTATAAAAGTATTTTGCTATAATCCAATTTCTGAAGAGCCCAGGGTTTATTTGTTTTTAACAAGAAGTCTACTACAGTTCTTCCAGGCCCATAGTGTCTCATGTAAACCCACTGCTGATCTGTTTCCCAGAATAAGTGTTTTTGCAAAATGTATTTTATAGACTTGTTTTGCTAGTACGCTACATCAGTATTACACTGGTAAAAGCACTCCCTACACTTGGAGGAAATGGCAATTAAAGGGCATGATAAAAGTCTTCAAAAGATCTGAAAAGCTGCCATAAGGAAAAGGGAGAACAATCTCTTCCCCTTTACTGCAGAGGACAAAGTGGCAGCGTCTAATTGCAATAAAGCAGATTAAGATTAGCTCTCAGGAAGAACTTCCTTGCTCTTAGGACAGGGAGGCAGTGGAATACTTTCCAGGGACGTTGTGAAATCTCCTTCCTCAGAGGTTCTGAAGAAGTTGAATAAGACTGGGCAGGGATGAACTCGGACAGTGGATGAACTCAACCTTTTTAGACTCAAGGCATCTCTTGAAAGTGCTAGCTCAGTTTTCACTCATTTTTTACTATGAAAAAATAATATAGTAAATGTTCTATTGCAAAGAACCTAGAAAGATCACAGCAGGTCAGAACTTTTTCTTAACCCTATGGGTTCTTATTTGAAATGATTGGGTTTATCTTGTGAATCACATTTGCACACCTAACAATGCTAACACTGCATGGCATCCTGCAGCACCCCTGAAAGGATCTCAAAGCACACCAGGGTATGGAGCACCCTGGTTGAGAATTACTGATCTAGGAGCAGCATTCCTGCATCCGTTCAAGGGGCTAGACCAGACTACCCCTGAGGTCCCCTCCAACCCTATGATTCTCTGATCCTAGGGTAGCCATAGGCTAAATCTCCATCAACAGCTATACCTATACATACACACTTCAACTCTGCAGACATAAAATTAATCCTTATGAGATTAGCATTCTAGGGACTGGTCACTATTTGAGGGCTTGTGAGTGGCCACATGAGGGCACTGTGCCCAAAAAGGAACAGTTTTAAGATGATGGGAAGTGCAATGAAAATGAGTTAACGCTCTGGCCTGTCTACACTCTCTCTCAGCCCATCTCCTAATGTGGCTGGCCATCCCTCTTTGCCTGCTGCCAGTTTGAGCCTTCCTTGGGCTGGGAACCTGAAATCCCACAGAAAAGATCTCTTGCCATATGATGGCAGCAGTGCAGTGTGCCAAGGAGACAGATGCTCCAGTCCATGAGGATAAACAGATTTGTTGTGGCTACTGCTAAACTGAAGGGCCCAACCCTTTCCCATTTTTTCCTTGTCAATTGACAAATATCTACCGCCTCTCTGCGTGTCCTCAGTGTTGACTATCCAGTCACTAATTATTTCCTCTTACTACAATTTACATCCAGCAGCTTTCCACAGGCACCACCCTTTCAAGATTGGTACTGAATACTAATCTGAAGGCCACTCTTTCAGTCAGATGAAGGATGATTGCGTAGAGAGAAAGGCAGGCTGACTTGCAGAATTTCCAAGACAATGCTAGCCTAGTGAAACTAGGAATCCAGTGCGTTTCCTTCCTGGCTGCTCACAGAGCTAGGACTAGGACACCTGCAATGGCAGGTGGCAGTGAGATGCTGGCCATACCAGTAAGAACACAGTACGACTTTGTTTGGGTTGCAACAAGAGTGTCAGTGCAGCTTCTATGCAGGCTGATAGAAGACCAATGCTATAAAACATTGGGGTTTTTTGAGTAGTATCAGATATTACTAAAGGGGTCTAAATACAATTTTTCTCTGTGGCAATGGGAAAGGAGGAGTAGGAGAGAGAATTTGAAAATGTTGTACAGAGTCTGGACAACTCTGCCCAAAGTGTAACAACACAGGGCAGATCTGCAGCGTGAACTACATCACAACCTCATTTGAGTTCATGGCTGCATTTCAGTCGAGCTCTCTTTAGCTCTCAGTCTAATGCAAGTTCACTAACCAGAGAGGTAGCTTGGACCAAACTTACTAGAGTAGAAAGAAACTCTTAAATACAGAGACAGTGAAGTCATATATAACCACTGGAACAGTGATTCTCAAATCAGGGGGCTGAGGCACTGTGGGTGCCTTGAGATCCTTTCAAGGGTCCCAGGCAACTTCAGCACTGTTGTGTGTGGAAACACGATTCACAAGATAAGCACAGAGATTTCAAATAGGAATCCAGAGGATCAAAAATAGTTCTGCCATGTTGAAGTCTTCCTGAGTTGTTTGCAACAGAAGAATTGTTCTATTATTTTTCTGTAGTCAGAAAAAGTGAAAACTAAGAGCTGGCGTTTTTCAAGGGGTGCCTCGAGTCTAACGAGGGTGAGAACCAGTGCATTAGAGATGGAGGCATTTTGCACTTCTCACAAGAGACACCGGGGGATAAATACAAGCATGCTCCAGCCTACGTGGAAGTAAATGCTGCCATCTAGCGGCATTCAAATGTCAAAGCTTCATCCAGCTTTCATTGCAGCTCGCTGCATCCCAAATTCAGGCTCTGAACAACAAATTAAAACCAGACAGTAAATGTCACTGAAGCTATTTTTGTACAGTCTTTATTTAATAGGCTGAGCATCTTTAATAATTCGCTGTTGTACAACAAGCATGGTAAATTGCAATATAATCTATGACTTCATATAAAGAGCACCATATCAAGAACCCCAATATGGTCTTGATTTATTGAACTCACTGACTTCACTGACTTTTACTGCTTTTATTGCTAACAATTTCAGCAATGCAGACACACACGCTAAGCAGCAAGGATGCTACTGCTCTTCTAGCACAGAAAGGGATTTTAATTCTCACTTGTGTCATCTGTGCTGTTTACCTCATCTAGTTCTTTCTCATTAGGACATGGTGGGGGGATGGACTTTCATGCCTAATCGTATATTATTAGTTCAGTCACAAGTTGGCTTTTAATGAAACTTTTGTACACAGAAGGAAATTTTCAGTGTGGAGCTATTTTAGCCCCAATCCCCTAGTTCACAGCTTGAAATCCACAACTTTTCAAGAGCTGGATCTGCTACTTTGACTTGGGGCAATGTCACTGGAAGACAATGAACTTGATGCACTCAGTTTTAAGCCCTGCTTGCACAATCCACCCATCTTTCTATCCAAAGGAAATTTCTAGTTATCCCCACATCTTGATTTGTTTCGCATTTTCTCCAGATTACAAATTCTTTGGGGCAGGGAATGTGAGCTGCCTTGTACACCACAACCACATGCTCCACACTTACTACTATCACTAAAACTTTCATCAAACCGCTGAAGGGTTAATTCAATGCATGCATTTTTGAAGGCTTTCCAAAACCACATTACCAGCTCTAATGCATCAGATGCACCCATTACATTTTGTTGGAGGCAGAACCATCCAAGATTACATAACGTTTCAAATCCAATCTTAAAAAGGTACTGCTTTTCAATGCATGTCAGTATTAAGCTGAGCGTACCTAACAGTTCTGCACAGCATCCAACACATTAGTTACACAATCCTTTATTTACAAAAGAAGAAAAATAAATTCTGAAATAGGATTTACCATCATCCAGTGAGGTAGGACTAGGATAAACATGGTGGGTTGCCTTTGACTTCTCCTCAGTTACTGTTCCCTAGATAGGGGGGAAAAAGTGAAATATTGCATTAGAATCCTCAGCTCTATGGATATAAATGACCTCCTAAAGAACAACTTGCCATTCAGTAATAATACTTAAATATGATCTTGGTTATCTAGAATAATGCAGAAAGATCCAGTGCATAAGTATTCAACCCAATTACTTGGTTCCAAAAGTGCCAGAAGAATTGCACCTTGACGATAATCTAATCCAGAGGTTCTCAAACTGCGGTCCACAAGCTCCATTCAGGTGGTCCGCAGAAATTTGGGTGCGGAACAACTGAGAATATCAGTACGTGGCCCTGCACTTGATTTATTTTTTCTGACGACAGAAAGTAAGTGGTCCGCCAAGACCCTTAGCAATTTTCAAGTGGTCCGCCAAAAAAAAAAAAATAATTTGAGAACCACTGATCTAATCTGATGATCTTCTGCATCGTACAAGACTTCCACTGCGAGTTAGTATCTAACATCAGCTTCTAGCCATTAGATCTAGTTATGGTTGGTCTCCTAAAATAAAAAGAGCCCCTGATATCAAATCTCCTTTCAGTGTAAAATACTTACAGGCCATGACCTCTTAGCATTTTGATAGGTTAAACAAATCTCTGGCTACCAATTTCCAAGCCTCCAAGCATTGTTCTTGCAGCTATTCTTTGAGCCATGTCTAATTTTTCTTTCTTTTTAAGTAAGGGCATCAGGACTGGAAACAGCATTCCAGCTGTATGCTCAACGGCAGTGAACACAGGAAGAACAAACTCCTGACTTGTATACTGTGCAGTATGATACTAATTGGTTTTATACAGTTAGAGATTACATACACCCTTTGGGCCACAGCCCTGGGATAATGGTCATGATTATTCATTATATGCAAACAGTTGCATTCTGCACATGCTGTAATCAGGAGGGCTGGGAAGTAGTATAACCACAGAGCAGGGAGCTACAGGAGTCATGGCAAAAGGAGATGAAAGAAGGGTGAAATCAAGATAATGACATAGCACCACAAGTAACATTAGTACAATATAAGATTTATCAATTTGGCAAGAAAGGAGACAGAAAAAAAATATGGCTGCGGATTATTTTTATTATTACTATTATTTTCAACTCTGCTTGGCTATATTTCTGTTCCAAATCTATCCATTAGGGTTAGAAAAAAGTACCTTTTTAAATATGAATACAAAATGCCTTTTGAGTTATTGCTGAAGGCCCTCGGAATTTATTATGCTGCACTACTTGTGCATCATGAACACTACCTCTACTCAAATATATAACAGCAATAGCAAACATTTTAGACTAGTGAATAATTAAAAGAACATCCGATTAAAAATTGAGTCATTTGTAAATTCAAAATTATTTCTAGGCACCAGAATACAGCTCAGGACATGGACAAAAAACACATTCCAGTAAGCTAGAGGGCAAGCACAAACCGCATTTCAGCTGCTCTCCGGTGACGGTCTGTGCGCTCACCACTTCCCTGCAATAGGTGAAAGCTAAACTATGCTCACTTTGCCCTGTTTCACTTACAGTAAGGTGTGCCAGACTAGCTTTCCCTTGCTGTGGGGGTAAGCATGGGCCCCAAACAGTCAGCACACACACCAGCTTCCCCAATGGTAAGTCCAGTCCCCTATTCTTCTTCGCAGCTGCGTCTCCAATCCAACCTTTCTGTATGATCTGTTCCCAATATCCTGCACAGGCCACTGCTTCTGGTGTTGGTGTTGCCAGATCTTGTGGGGTACACTGCAGCGCTACAGGGCATCTCGGGAGATGATCCATGGTTTGCTTCTCCTGACAAATACGTTGGTTGGTTGCACAGAAACCCCATGATTTCATGAGAAATCACAGCCCCCTCATGTTAGCTGACTCTAATTTGCTCATTTGTCCCCAACTCAGTACATCTAAACTGGAGGAGCCTTAGCTTGTTTCTAATGTGCCCAGCGAGACATTTATTGCCATAACTTGAATAGTGATAATTATGCATCCTATAACTCATGACAGAGTAGGGGAGTGCACGACCTCCTTAGGTCACTGGCCTGACAAGTAACTTGCACAACGACGAAAAGAGCTGCATGCTGCTTGGACAGCTACAAGGACCGTTATGTACTATGTCTCTGAGGAAAAGGATATTAAATTTTTCTCTGACACTATAACTAGATCACCAGATGGTATCTGCATGAGGACTAATTGACCCAGGACTTATTATAGCTAGTGCAAGCGCACAAACACAGAGAACACAGAAACCTTTTTATTTTACCTTTGGAGGCGTTTGGTTCAATAATATCCCCTGGCAACAAGTTCTAGAGGCAGTTATAGGCTATTAAAAACAATCCCTTTTATTTCAGTCAGTCACACTGCAAGTCCTTGAAAAACAGTGTCCTTAACTTGCTGGATCACCCTGTCAAAGACTTCAAACTTTCTTTTTATGTCGCTTATAAATGACATTATTTAAATGACTTGTTTAAAACTCAGCCAACATAAGCAATAAAATGTAAGATTAAGAGCTTAACAGAGTAGATTTAAAGAACACTTCTTCCAAAACACCAGCAAAAAATGAAAGGAGCTTTTATTGCAGAACAGGGAAAAAGCTATTAGTCTGATTCAAGCTATTATTTAAACATTATAAAAAGGGCCAATGCTAAATTTTCCTGCGAATCTGCTGATTGTCTGAAAAGTCAAGAATCACCTATTCAGCACAAGACCGAGAACAAGTGCCCAAAGCTAGACTACGTCCACACATACCTGGCCTGGCAATAAAAAGTTTCACCATGGGCCAGTACTGCCAGACCCACATGCTCCTGGCACCTCTGCAAGGCTTCGCTACAACAGCTGGGCCACCCGAGGAACAAGCCCACCAGGACAGCAGCACCTGGCTGACGGCGCGGGAGTATCTCTAGGGACCGTCACCCAGTTGTCAACAGAAACTATTCCACAAACCAAGACAATACAGCAACTCCCTGCCCAGCATCTCTGCCCTGCCACCAGAGAGAGGCTTTGAGCAGGGTGGGTTTGACTTAAATCATTGGTCAGAAAGCCTCAATTTTATCACTGTTTTCTACAAAAAGTGCATTCTTGTTGTTTGATATAACCTTAACACACATTATTCATAACTCAGAGACAGGTGTAGGTTTCATTTTTAGAAAGCACACTATACATTTTAAAGCAGTAATTCTGATATGTTTTCAGCTTAATTTTGTAGCTACATCAGAAAACTGAATTATGATATGGTTATTTTATTTAACAAAGCAGATACTTGTGAAGTCACTGGGAGGTGAACTATCTCCACTTCACTAGATTAATCATGGATATTTGGGGGATGTTTTTGCCATGCTGTATTTGAAGAACACCAAATGAGCAGCGCAGCCATGTTATTAGCTTGGGGCTTTCTTCACTTTCTTCTAGATTTCCTTTCATCTTTGATCACTTCTCTCTTTTACAGCCTGGCAAGCCTGCTGCCATGATAGGTTTTCCTGTCTAGATCTCAAATCAATGGAGAGGCTATACTCAAACATATCCCTACAAGAGAGCTGACAGGTGGGTAATCCGGTCTGTTGGCTCTCACCTCCATATAGTGTTGGTTAACAAGGATGTTCTCTCGAGAGAGAGAGACATCCACAGTCTGAGAACTGAAACAAACCATCAGAGAGATGCTTAATGGGATCTTTTAGACTGAGCACCAAGTCTCATTGGGTAGAGTGGTTTTCTTTACTAATCTAGAGAGGAGCCTCTGGGAACTCCATACGATTGGGCCCTTAACATAGTCCATGGCCTCTTGTGACCAACTTATAAAACTTTTCTAAAAAGGTTACATGAATATATTGTCTCAAATAGTATATAACTAGAAGTTATAATCCCTATTCTATGATATCTTTGAGCTTTAATAAATCTTAAATTAAAACCATCTTTATGGGGGGGGTTAAAAGCATCTTTAAAAAAATCAAAAATATGATTAAATTGAAAAAAATCTGATCTAAATAAATAAAAAAAAACCCCACTGATTTTTACCCACCTGTCTGAGTATGAATGCACTGAAGTTCTGCCAGCACTGCTTTGCCATGTACACTGGACCCAAGCAAGGCTTCAGGTTAACTTAATATTTCTTTTACATTAACAGGTAAGGGACTATTTAGAAAAGTGGGAAGTGTAAAAGTACATGGGGTGAGGCGCAATGCACCCAAGGGTGCTAAGGGGGTTGGCCAATGGAACTGCAGAGCCACTGGCCATTATCTTTGAAAACTCATGGTGATGGGGACAGGTGCCAGACAGCTGGAAAAGGGTAAATATAATGCCCATCTTTAAGAAAAGAAAGGAGGATCTGGGGAACAATGGACAGGTCAGCCTCACCTCAGTACCTGGAAAAATTATGGAGCAAGTCCCCGAGGAATCTATTTCTAAACACTTGAAGGAGATGAAGGTAATTAGGAATAGTCAACATGATTCACCAAGGGCAAGTCATGCCTGACCAACCTGACTGCATTCTATGATGAGATGACAGGCTCTGTGGATGCAGGGAGTAGATGTGATATACCTTGACTTTATCAATGTTTTTTCTATGGTCTCCCACAACATACATATAAGCAAGCTAAGGAAGTATGGATTGGATGAATGGACTGAAAGGTGGAGAGAAAACTGGCTGGATTGTCAGGGTCACAGGGTAACAAAGCTATTGCTCAATGTCTAGTTTGTAGCCAGTATCAAGTGGAGTGCACCAGGAGGTGGTCCTGGAGCCAGTTTTGTTCAATATCTTCATCAGTGACCTGGAAGATGGGATGCACTGCACCCTCAGCAAGGCTGCAGTTGACACCAAACTGGGAGGAGTACAAGATACACTGGAAGGGAGGGCTAGGATTCAGAGAGAACTAAAGAAATTGGAGGATTGGGCCAAAAGAAATCTCATGCGGTTGAATAAAAACAAGTGCAACGTCCTGTATTTGGGATGGAATAATCCCATGCACCAGTACCGGCTGGGGGATGACTGGCCAAGCAGCAGCTCTGCAGAAAATGACTTGGGGGTGACAGTGGACAGGAAGCTCAATAGCAGCCAGCAGTGTGCCCTTGTTGCCGAGAAGGCTAATGGCATACTGGGCTACATTAGGAGTGTTGCCAACAGATTGAGGGAAGCGATTCTTCCCCTCTGTTCAGCACTGGTGAGGCTACATCTGGAGTCATGTGTTCAGTTTTGGGCCCACTACAGAAAGGATGTGGACACACTGGAAACAGTCCAGCAGAGGGAAATGAAAATGGTTCAGGGGCTGGGGCACATGACTTGTGAGGAAAGGCTGAGGGAACTGGGCTTATTTAGTCTGGAGAAGAGAAGACTGAGGGAGGCATTTAATAGCAGCCTTCAGCTCCTCGCAGGGGGGTTACAAAGAGGATGGAGCTGAACTGTTCTCAGTGGGGGCGGATGACAGGACAAGGAGCAATGGGCTCAAGCTGCAGCAAGGGAAGTTGAGGTTGGATATTAGAAAAAAACTCTCACAAGGAAGGTAGTAAAGCACTGGAACAAGTTACCCAGACAGGTGGTGAGATCTCCATCCTTGGAGGTTTTTAAGACCCGGCTATGGGATGATGTAGTTGGGGCTGGTCCTGCTCTGAGCAGGGGGTTGGACTAGTTGATCATCCGAGGTTCTTTCCAACCCTCATTTTCTATGATTCTATTTTAACTGTTTGGGCAGGGTCCTCTTAAATCAGAGCACCTCTGGCCTAAAGGTTTAGCTTCTCCAACTCTAAGTCTAAAGTTTGGATAGGTTGTCAGCTCCTGCCTCAGGCAGCATCTACTTGGCTGAAAAAAACTGCTGCAGGCAATGCAAGTACTATACTCAGAGTTCACACTTTTAGGGGACACTCCAGATTTCAAAGGGTTTGAATGTAATATGAACAAGTGAAGTGGTCAGACTCCCTACGCATGAGGTGTTACTGCAATTTGATAGACGGGGAAACAAAGTGCCTTTGTGACATGCATAAGGACCCCCAGAACTCCAAGACAACCAGGGACAGAATCCAGGCCTCCTGACCCCCATGTGTACTCCTTTCCCCAGAACACTCCCATCTCTATCCTGTTTTATTCTTCGGTGCACAGTTCTAGGATGATACCTACAGGTCCCCCTTACAACAATGGCTGCAAACACACAAAAAGTAAAAACACCACCACAAAGACTTGCGTGAGCTTTATATCCGTTACCTGGTGACGTTTGACAATATCCTTTAGCTTGTTAGCCAACTTCAGCTCTATATCTGGAATGAGGTAGATGATTGGTCTGCTCAAACAATTATTCTAGAGGAGAAAGAGAGAACTTTAAATCCAGCATTCATAGACTACACATATGAATCCATCAGGAATTCATCTACTAAACACTGCTGCTTAACTTCATCATGAGTCTCTTGTCACGTGAACTGGCTTGCTCTTGCATTTAACAGCTCAATTCAAAGCCTAGTGAAGTTCCAAGCATCTTTTTGTTAGCTTCAGTGCATTTTGGATCAGGTCCTAACTTTCCATTTACAGCAGCACTGTTAAGCATCTTTAATAAAGCCCTGATTAGAGTCTAACCCTGCTGTACTAACGTGTACTGGTTCCTATACTACTGAGGACAGCGATAATAACCATATTAAATAAGCATTTACTTAAAGGGAATGTTTACTTATCTCTGTAGAATCACAGTGAAACAAATGATATAAAGATATAAATAAAATATCAGTAAAAACTAAAGAATACTGTCACATTTTGGATTCCTTTCCTCCCATTCTTGGTTTTACCAAAATACTTGAAAAGTATGCCTACACGATTATCATGGCATTATCCTCAGTGGTACTAATAAACTAACATTTTAATTTGTCCTCCTCGAGTGGTGGGCATGGTATCTATCTGTTGCACAGCACAAGGGATTAGTGGTAGAATACTATTTATTCCACCTCCAGGCTAATAGCCAAAATTTGACTACCCACATAGCCTCAAGTTTAACAGCTACTTTCTGGTAGCTATTCAGTGGCTCAGACAAAGCAAGTTGCAAGTCTCAGTTCAGATCATAGTAGAGAGAATCAGAAACTGGATCCTTTGGGGCAGTTTGAAGAGGAGCCAATGACTGAACGGACAAGCAAACTATCTGCTCAATCCAAGAGTTGGAATGAGCTGGGCTGCTGATGTTTCCAGTGCTACTCTTCCATTTCCTCTGCTGATAACCCAGCACTTCTCAACAGTAAAATTTACCTAAATAACATTTTCCTTTCACATAAGTAGTCTACCTTTTGCAAGAACAGACCCATTTAACAGATTTTGACCACATTATTTCTTAAATCCTCATACTCTGGCATTTGACTCTAGAAAAAGGATTGCACAGATCCTCAATTTTATCTTAAAGAAAAATTAGCCCCCAATTTAAAATGGATTTTGAGCAGTTTCCCTGCAGATAAGTGTTTCCTCTAGCTCTACCTCACTAATTAATGAAAATTTCTAAATGAGATCACAGGAACAGATTAAGAATTAGAGAGAAACTTTTCTGCAAAGACACAGCTTGGGATTCTCATGAGTGTCACCAAAGGTCACCTGAGGCATCCAAAAGACACTGAACCACAACCCCAGGGGGGATGAAATATATTGAGAAACTAAACAAAATGTTTGTAGCAATAAGTTTCTTGCCTGCACTAGCATCTTCTCAATGTTAATGAACATCTCCACATTACGATCCATTCGGGATGGGTTCTGCAGATCAAACCTCCGCCTGTAAGTGAAGAATATAGTTTACAGAATGAGACAAAAATGATGCTTTACGTTAATAGAGCATTAATACAAGACAGTTTTGTGCAGTTGCTGCACGTGAATGTAGAATTATGAACACATGTTCAATATTTCAGCCCCAATGTTGTACTTCTGCTTCCCTTAAAAAAAAAGTCCTCATATAAGAGAAAAAAATTGCAGAGATCGTGTGACCTGTTATCAGCAAACTAAGACTGAAGATAGCCAACATGATCAGCAAGGGCGGGTAGCCAATTAACTATATTACTTTGGCCTCCACTGGGATCAGACAGAATAGCAATTAAATAAATGCAGCTCAGCTGCTGGAGACATGGCTCAGGTTTGTATCAGCAACTGATGAGACGGGAACAGTGGGAGCACAGGCAAACAGACCGTCATGTCTCTAAACATTTCCCATTGTGTTCACTAGCCTGTTAGCTGGAAGTGCAAGTGGCACAGCTCAAATCCACTACTGTACTTTTCTGAGCTAGGTATATATGGCAGAGAAGGATGAGGAAGAGAGATTTACTACTCCACACACAGTGCACTCAAAACATTCACCCTTGCATTTAATTGGGGTCTACAGTCAATTTTCAAGTGGGAATGTCACAGTAAATACAAAAATCACTGTCCTTGATTTAAACAATTTCTTGCCACTAAATCTGAGCAACGTGTTTTAGAAAGCAACTTGAATTACAAAGATATACAAAACATGTCCATTTGCACAATTTAAGTGCCTTTTCCTGCCATTTCTGGGCTAGCAAAACCAAGAAAGGTAGTTCTCCAAGCCAGATCATTCAAAAACAGAAAGACAAGTACCATTAAAAACCTCGAAGAATCACATCTGAGATAAAACTGCACACAATATCATTGAGTCAAGTCAGTGAGGAAACATCTCAGTCTCAAAAAGTCTGAGCCTCAAAGCTGATTTTTCCAGTGCTGTTTCCCTCCCCGCTTTACATGGACAAGAGTAACACCACACACTAGTTTGAGGAAGCAGCAGGAAAAGAGATGGAAAAGTGCCAGAGCTTTGCTTTCACTAAGATTTCAGCAACTGGGAAGTAAGTTTGCTGGAAGAAGAAAAATTAAAAGAATAGTTACTGTGTGAAAGTTACTTGAGCTGCTTTACCATTAAAAGCTCAGGAGGTAGCAAGAAAAAAAGAAAAGTATCATTCCATAGATCCCTGCCAGATACCCCATACCAAGTTTTAGCAATGCTGGAAGAGAGGAAGGTTTTTAAAGCAATTCAATTCATGGCAGCTTCTTGTCATTTCATGCTCTGCTAACAAATTTAAAAGACATGGTAAAATCCACACTAAAACAATGTTTTGGTACAGCTATTTTTGTAACACAGCCTTGATTTACTCGAGGCTGGTTGGATGGCTTCCTGCTCCAGGAATAATTCAACGCTTACCTGAAAAAAGAAGAGAAACTAAAACTAAATGGAAAAAACCCTCTGCCATCATTCTGAGTTGCCACCGCTTTTATATTTACTATATTTTCATCCTCAGTTGGAGATTTTGCATTTTTCTTAAACACACATGGATTGCAGATTGGCTGAAGGGTCGCACTCAGAGGGTGGTGGTGGATGGATCATATTCGACTTGGGGGGAGGTGGGTAGGGAGTCCCCCAGGGCTCGGTCCTGGGCCCTGCGCTGTTCAATTTCTTCATCAGTGATCTTGATGTTGGGGTGGAGAGCAACCTGTTTAAATTCGCTGATGACACCAAAATTTGGGGGGAGGTGAGCACGCTAGCAGGGAGAGAGAGATTGCAGAAGGATCTGGATAGGTTACAGGGGTGGGCAGACAGGAACAGGATGCGTTTCAATACGGACAAGTGCAGGGTGCTGCACTTGGGTAGTAGGAACCAGCAGCACACTTATACGATGGGGAACTCCCTACTTGAGAGCACGGAGGCGGAAAGGGATCTTGGTGTCATTATTGACTCCAAGATGAACATGGGCCGACAATGCGAGGTCATGGCTGGCAGGGCTAACCGGACCTTGTCGTGCATCCACAGGTGCATCTCGAGTAGAGCCAGGGAGGTGATCCTCCCCCTCTATGCGACGCTGGTCAGGCCGCAGCTGGAGTATTGTGTCCAGTTCTGTGCGCCCCATTTCAGGAGGGATGTGGACAACATGGAGAGGGTCCAGAGGAGGGCCACCCGCATGATCTGGGGACAACAGGGCAGACCCTACAGTTAGAGACTGCGGGACTTGAACCTATTCAGCCTCCACAAGAGAAGGCTGAGGGGGGACCTGGTGACCGTCTATAAACTCACTAGGGGGAACCAGAAGGGTTTGGGGGAGACGCTGTTTCCCCTAGCCCCTGCTGGCATAACAAGGAATAATGGGCACAAGTTGATGGAGAGGAGGTACAGATTGGACATCCGAAAAAATTACTTCACAGTTAGGGCGGCTAGGAGCTGGAACCAACTTCCAAGGGAGGTGGTGCTGGCCCCTACCCTGGGGATCTTTAAGAAGAGGCTGGATACTTACCTGGCTGGACTCATTTGAGTCCTGTTTTTGTTTTTAGGGGTTTTTTTGTTGTTCTCCCGCCCTGGCGGGGGGGCGGGCTAGAAGATCTATTAGGTCCCTTCCGACCCTGAAACTATGAAACTATGAAACAGCAGCTTACCATCCTTGTTCATTCTTATACTTGTAAGCAGCACCAAGAACGTGACATAACGTGCCTCCAGCTTTGAAATCCAGGAAGCACTTTGCCTAGAAACAAAGAAAAAATGAGAAAGATGTAACAGTAAAACACTCACTTTCATGCAACAAAACATTGCATACACTACTCTCATATAGGACAGAAATAAAGTTCTTACCTGGACCTTGCTTTATAAAGGCTTTACTCTTCACTCCTTATAAAAGGCTAAATTAATGTCATTTCAGAAGTAAAGTTTGAGTCTACACACAAAGATCAGTTGCATCCTATGCTTTACCTAACACGGTCTATCATACTGCCATAACACCAGCAGCCTGGTGCAAGATTCCTCCAATACTATAAAAAACCCAGAGTTTTGGCCTTCGTCCCCCCTGACTGGGAGACAGGGAAGCTCAGCATTCACTTAAAACATTCCAGCTGTTTTCCTAAAGCGGGATCCTCGGAAATGCAAGCAGATGTAAACCAACTGCCACAGTGAAAAGAATTAAGCTGCTGTGCTTCGCTTCAGAAGCAGGACTGTGGACAGCAGGCTGCTTTTTTTTTTTTTTTTTTTTTTTTTGAAAAAAAAGTTTAGTTTGCAAAGTTCAGGAAAAAGTTCTCTTACAGGCTCACTCCAACTAAATCCAACTCCTTTTAGGCCAGAAATGTAAGCACCATTCCACCACCAAGCTGAACATACTGTGCACAACACACTGTGCAGAATGACATTTTAGATAGAAATACAGAATTGAGGCTAGAATTGCAGCAATGAAGAGACCGAAAGGGTCCGTCAGACCCCCATTTAATCCAGTCCCTCCGTTTCATGTAAGACCATTTTCTACAGCTGACTTTCCAGAGTTTTTGTCAGTCTCATTTGAAATTGGAAAGCATGCTTCAGAGTGTAACCTTATTTATGAGGATTACTAGACAGTTTAACATCCATATCTGGGAGAAGCAAACATCTCTGTCTGGAAAAGCAAGAAAGGGCAGACATTTAGAAAGTTCAATTACGGGCCAAGACTTCAAACGGTCAGACTTACGCTCACAGACAAGACCATTCCATTTAACTGTTTTTAAAAACAATAAGACAATTATAGTTAAAATGTTGGCACAGGTGTTATCATTTGGAGCAATACACAGTGACAGCTTTTAGGAGCTAACCCATTTAAAAAGCTATTTACAGGATATAAGGCGGCAGTTTGGGCAGCCTGAAGCTATCTATAAACAGCAGCCCTAGATGATGGAGGGAAGTTTGCATTCTGCAATTCCTGACTGTGAGAGGCAATCTTCAGATCTCACCTGTAACATTATTTGTCATAAACTTCAAATTAATCTCATTTAAGTAATGAAAGGCTGTTTACACATAACAGGTGGGCCTACCTTTATTAACTATGATGCAAAATTTCTCATTTCCAACCCAAACAACAGAGCTTACTGCTCTGATAAACTGCTCTGATAAACTTAAAAAGTGGCAAACAACTTAGGCTGCCTTTTAGTAATTTTCCAAAGGTGAGTTTTACCTGCAAAGAAACCTGGTTATACACCAGAAGGTTTGGTTTTAAAATGTATCTCCTTTCTTAAGCAAGCTTCAGACACAAAAATAGAATTCTCTCCAAATACAGGGATGATAAAATGAGGCAAATCAATCATCTAGACTTGCTTCCACAAGAATCTATATTCCCTTGATGCTCGTCTCTGACTAACGTTAGAGAAATGCTGCAACAGAAGAACTCGTTATATTATTTACTTGCTATTTACTTGTTTATGTTGCATTATTTACTTGCTTAAAGCGCAAGAAAGAGCTCAGTTGCAATTCAAGCCATACCTACCTCCCCTCCGTGTATAAGCTTACAGCAGAATACACCCTGCATTTCAGTATTAAAAGCATCCCCCCCACAGGAAAGAAATATTTTGAGATCCCTGAGCAGGTCAGCATGTCAGTCCTGTGTCAAGGATCTCAAGTTATCCTTTAAGCACACCATGATATCCTGCTTTGTGCCAGGCCACAGAGCCACATGCAGGGAAACGGTCTCCTGTACTCCCAGTGTTTCCACTGCTGGCACCTAAACATAAGAGAAGGAACAAAGAGGATGGAAGGTAGGAGACAGGGCTGTGGTCTGGGGGATTTATTAGAGAGGACATGGGGAAAGAAATGGGTATGGAAGAGGGCGACAGGGCAGGAAAACTGACCCGCTAAAGCACCTCCTCCCCTAAACACTGGAATAGAAGCCACGAGAAGTCAAGTCGTAGTAGATCCTCTGGGTCAGCAACTCCCAACATGCCCACTACAAAGCATGCGCCTCCTCACCCTCCAGAGCCAGGCGACACGTGCAGAGAGTTCACACCTAGCATATTCACACAAGCCTGCGTAAACAGTTTGCTATTTGGGGCCAAACTGGGAAAAAGAAAAGAAAAGAGAGAAGTTCAGATCAAACCGACACAAGTATTTTGGTTGTCTTTTGCTACAACGGTGACATCCCAGTCTGGGCATCTTGGCTAGGGACAGAAATGACACAAACTGGTATAAGTGATCAGAAACCGATTCTAATCTGTAACAAAACAGAAGTTCGGTGCACATAAACCACTTTCAAAATGCCCGAAACCAGTTAAAGATAGACCTGGCTGGATGCAGCATCAGACAACTGATTTAGGTTAAATCGGTTTACTGAACTTCTGTCCCAGATCCCCTCCAGATTCAAGTTAACTCACAGTCCCCCAGCATCCCAGGATGCTTTGCACCTCCCCTGCAAACATTCCCCCAGGGTGGGCAGGCTAGCCTTGGCCCAAGCTGTCTGCTCCAGCAAACAGGATGGTGTGCTCTAGCAGCCCCTGGCTTCTGGCCTGGGCCACTGCAGGCATGTGGCTGCATTTCCGGAATCAAAAGCGAATGTCTGTTCCCTTGCTTTATTGGTTCAACCCATGCAGCTTAGACTAACCTGCAGAGATTAAACTGATTCAGCTTCAGGCTTTCTGACTGTCTGTACTTAGCCCTTAAATGACAAAACCACAGGAGTGCTCACCCCCTTTCACTCAACAACCTAGTTGTTAGGGCACTCGCCCAAGAGTGAGAGATTCATTAATCTGCAGATCTCATTTACCCACAGACCGCACTCGCCCTCCACTGTGGAGGAGGTGCTCTCAATCTCTCCTACTCATGCTACTCTTACTCTGTAAAAAAAGGAATATTCTTTGGAGCAAGAACTGCCTCCACTTTTCAAGCACAGTACCCAAGCCACCACTGTGCCGACTGCTCAATCCGTTCCTTGTTTTACTACAGAAAATTCAAAGTTTCACATCTTCATGAAACAACTATCTTCTGACCAACCTTCCTTAGACTGGCGTTTTATGAGCAGCTGACTTCTGGGGGCCAAGTTGAAAAGGCCATAGTGGTAGGACAGCTATCGGATCACAGTTTGTGTTGGGAGCATTTCAGACCTCATTTCTGCCCAACTGTTTAGAGCAAAAGGGGTCATTTTCCTTTACAAAGGGCTGTGTGACACTCAGGGAGCATCTGGCAAAGCAGGGCTGATGCCAAGCTAGAAAGAGAATGTTTCTTCACTTTACTGACAAGCTTTCTGTATCTCATGCGTTCGTATGGGAACTAAAATGAAGCGCTTTGTATATTAAGACTAAAATTGCTAATAGATTTCAGAGGTATTTGGAGAGAGACTGAATTATCCTGGCCTACGAACAATGTAAACAAGACTTCTGCAAGCACTTAATTAGGGATAAGGATGGGGGGAAGGGCTGCTCTTGGTCTACCATCTGTTTGGTACTGCAGAGGAAACAAAAAAGGTAAAGAAAGGTTTCAAAGCTGCTGCACACACCTGCCAACTCATTTGCCTACAGTAGTCCAATCCTACTCTTATTTAGAAAAAAAATAAAGGGGCCTTTGTTGTCTCAGAGCAGGACAAAAGGAGTTAGGACAGCTGGGTTTTCTTTCTGCCTCTGCCACTGGCTGAAGGCCTGACATTGGACTCACTATATCAATGTATCCATTAACAGCATGGGGCCGATAGCCCCTGCCCCCCAACACCCGCGGTACAGGTACAGGTACTAGTTGTGACCAGTCTCAATGTAGGGCAAGAGAATTCCTGGAGGCCAGATGTGAGGTACCCTCACAAAACGGCCACTAGAGATTTGGCTAGGTGATCATGGAGATAGTGGCAACCAGAACCAGTGTCCCCATCTCCAGCAGGAAGCAGGACTCTGTATAGCTCATCTGCTCCAACACTAGCACCAAGGTATTACATAGCTAGCACAAAGACGGTGAAGCAGCTGCCAGCCACTGCAACTCCAATGGTGATGAGGATAGCCACATGCCAGTGTATTATCAAATCGTGTGACCAGAGCACACGAGTGCCAACATGCTGACCCATGCTCAGGCAGGAGACTGTCCCTCACAAACGTCATCAAGAGAAAAGGACCTACCTGGAAAACCAGACCATTACTAACATGCACGTACAACAGCTCTGAAACCATGCAAAAAAGCTAAACCAGTAAAGGTGCAAGTTCTGCTGGCAATGAAGGAACTGACTAAAGAAAAAGGTTCCAGGTCAGTAGCTACCTTTAGGAGGAGGCGCACAGCAGTCGACAGGGTACATGGCACATGCTCCATCCTGCTTGGACCATTCATGTCTCAGTAGGAAGGAGAAACCTGGAAGCAAGGGCTCTGGCTAATTCAATCTTTACAGAAAAGCTCTTGAATTAGATTTATCAGTCAGGACCAGGTTTTCAAAATTAGGATCCAAAACCAGCAGCATAATCACGTGTTACAAAACTAAATGTACACATGCAAAACCAGCAGCTACCTTTTAGTCTATACCAGTTTCTCCCTCATATTCCAAATTCATGATAAGTAAGGTATAAACTATGCCCCACTGACACTCGAACCTTACACCTCAGGTACCCAGCTGGAGGAAGAGGTTTTGCTCAGGATAAAACCAGGTGGCAGAATAGGGATCAAAAATGATTTTTTCCAGCATGTCAGACTGGCAAGCAGCGAATGAGTTTTTGCCTCCCTCTGTAGCATGTAGCCTCTTCCTCACAGCCTCCAAAGACATTAACCAAAATATTTCCCTGCGTTTCAGTGACAGGACACTGATGGGACCCTTGCCACCATCGCTTTTTGTGCAAGTCATGCTCTGAGGCATTTTTGGTTTTCTTTTCATAAGGGGATTTGTAGCTGTGGTCTTTGAAAGGAGCTAGAGTGGACAACGGCATGACTTTAGTGGGAAAAAAGGTGGCCTGGGTACACCAGGGACTGAATCTAATGGTCGTTAGGTCCTTCCCAGTCTTAAATTTGAAGCACTCTCTCCTCTGTGTGCAAGCCTAACAAAGAAATCCAAATGTTTCCACAGCCAGGACGAGCCAGTGGTTTGAACGCAGGCCTGAGAAATGGGACTCTCAAGCTGCCTTACTGACGGTAACTGGAGTTGTGGACAAGTTGCAACTCATCTGCCTAAGTTTCCCCTAGGATAGAAACTCTGGGATACCTCCTACTAGCTTCATACATTAACTAATCCTTTGTGCATGTAACACTAAGAGGAGGAAAAGATGCATAGGGAAAACAGCCTGTCATTTGATAAAAATGCCAAGACATTATTACCAAAATAATATTCCCCTTTGTGTTGATCCATAGTTATAACCCATTAAAGGAATAAACTAGGTTTGTGACAAAACCAGTCCATTTTGTACCAATGAGATAAAAATCAGTCTTTACCAGTCAAGCAGCAGCAAGCCACCTTCACGTGAAGCAGCAACACATTCCAACATTTAAAACAGCCCTTTTCTTAGCATGTTTAACCATCAATTTAAAGCCAAGCTCTGTTCTCAAACTTATACAAGATGTGGCGCCAAGAAGAGCAGAATCTGCATAATTTTATCTTCATCTTAGCCAAGTAAGAAGTCATTTCCTCTGCCTCACCTAGGTGGGTTTTCTAGCTTAGCAGGAAGTAACATTTTAGCTTAGATGCAGTGTTCCACAACTGGGAGAGGTCTTATTCAATATTTACATTTCATTTATTTTAGACACTGCAACATCCCCAAGACTATGCAGCTTCGATACTACACTGGTTAGAGATTGTGTGGTCCTTCCTCATAGTCATATAAGAAATCTGAATATATTAAGATGTTCTAGGGTTTCCAAGATCATTTATTCTATTAATTTATTTTTCATTAACAAACCAATTGTCTTGACCCCGTGACCAAGTCACAGACCCCCCCCCCCTTTTTTTTTTTTAAGAAAGCATGCATTTCCAACCTAGCATAAGTCTATGTTTTAACAAAATGTAAAGTTATATGGGCAAAACCAATTTTAATTATACAACTGCAAAGCAGGTGAAGAGTATAGCACATGTATTGTATTTCACAACCCAAAAAGGGACTGAGTATTTTTCATACTGTAGTACAAGCTCATTATAACAAAACCCCCATGAGACAGAAGAGAAAAGTGCACTAAAAGAGGATGTTTGCTATAAGGTTAGTTAATTTGCTCCATTATCATAATGAAAAAATGGCTTCCTGCTTTTGGGATTGCTAAAGGAGGAAGAGATTATAAACAGAGTTTCTTATAATAAGGTTGTGCCTTCTTTATTGAACATTAGGAAATGATTGTGAGATTCATACTGTTCAAAATGGAAGTCTTCTCTGCATGGTTTATCTATGGCAATCTGGATTCTTGCTAAGAGTTCTGTGGTAAGTTTCCATTATATAATTTGAAGTGAAAAGAACAATTTATTCAAGACAGAGATTTTATTGCAGTAGGAGGCATGTAGAATTGCTAAAATGCTGTTACAGGGTTAATTTAATGCCTTGTAGTGTTATACATTTAATATATTTTAATAATTAGAAGAACAGCAAATGTGTGATGACTGTCATTTTGTTGTTCTCATCAATTCATTCAACAACAGGCTACTGTATTTGTGCCTACTCAAACAGCTAAAATTCTTAACAGATCCCTCACTGAGGGGTGCGAGACATTACAGCTCCATACAGTAAGCCATCCTGGGCCCCGAGGAGATTAGTTTAAATCTCTGGACTGGATGCCCGAGGCAGTGGGGTTGCTATCACTGCTGCCTTCACAAACAATCCTCTATTACCATGTCCTTCCCACTTAATGTGCCCACCTGTCATCTCTCATCACATTTGACCATAAGATCTTTGAGACTGGAACTCTTCCGCTGTTCCATATGTACAGAGCACCTCTCTCAACGAGACGCTAATCTCCAGTTGGAATATCCAGATACATTTTACCAAGCTGGCAATAAGACCAAACAACATTAATTGTTCCTGACAGCTCTCAAAATATTATTCCAGATCATTTTTGTGACGACTGTAACAGTAGCAGGGGAAACAATTCCTGAATAGAAAAGTCACTTTTAGATTGGTGGCATCCATATAAATAAACACAAACTGTCCACTTAAAGCTCAGTGGAAATTTTAAAGAACAAACTATGGAATCTGATGAAAAGTTCTCACTGAAATTCAAAGTACTCCTGGGTGTGGGTATCTCTGATGAAATAAAACCCTGGCAAATATATAGCTACATCCTCAAATTTGATTTTTTACCAGCATTGCTCTGCCAGCTGAAATTCAAAGTCCACCTATATTTCTAAAATGAACTGTTGAACACTACAGAAGCAGAAGGACATTTTAGGCTTAAAGTTAATATTATACAAGGACAACCACATCTTATCACCCTACCCATGTTAGGGATGGTCAGGACTCTAGAAGCAGACAGGTCTACTAACTCAGTAGAAACACACTATTTGGCAGGAAAAAGTACTGAATGAACAAGAAAAGACACTGTGCTACTGTCAACACAGCACACTCATGACACTCTGATACTTACAGGAAGTTTGGTGAAGGCAGGATTGGTGACATGTTTTCCAAAGGCATCTTCCTGGAACTGTAGCAGCTGCACCACCAGCCCAGCCAATGTTTTATTGGTAGGAGCATCTGCTTGGACATACTGAAAGATATAAACACATACTAAATGGGTGAGAGGAAGATGACACACTGATCTGTCAATTCACTGACCAATCCCAACCAGCTCCAGAGCATCATTTATTATCCAGTTTCTCCATTAGTTTGTATGTGGTCTTTGGTTTATTATTGGTTTTCATATTCATTGAAAAAAGGGACTGTTAAAGAACCTACCTTTCTATAATAGGTGAAGAGCAGCTAACTTTATGATTGCCATCTTAAAAATATGTCACGTCACTACCAAAATCTATATTTCTGCTTATTTGCTTTATTCCTTTAAAAACATGAAGCATGAATGCTTATTTTAAGACACAGTCTAAGATCTTCCCTTGAGCACAATTAGCTAACCAAACTCAATAATTCTTTACAGATAAGGATTAAATACTTAAAGACAGAGATCAGATTAAAGTTGCAAAACTAATTCTGGCCTACACATATATACCGCCCGTTAACGCAACCTACGGGCTCCTTCTCTCTCTCAAATGAATTGCACGATGAACTCTGTGTTAATCCCACTAGTGTCTATTCATTAACATTCAGGGTGTTTGTGCACAAACAGAAAAAACAGACCCAGAAGATTAGATTTCTAAGTTTTGTAGTAATCTACAATCAGATGCTTTTCCCAAGCAGCATATTTCAGCATGTGGTTCTCTCATGCACATGTATACATGCATGTGTGCATATACATAGAATAGGTAGGGTTGGGAGTATTGCGGCCAGGATGCTCCAAGAAATGTCTGAGGCGCAAGGATTTTCTGTCATATCTTTTATCAGACCATCTGCATAGCTGGGAAAGCTGCAGGATGCTCTCCCAACCATACATTTGGTCCAATAAAAGGTAGCACAGAAAACCCTTGCTTCTTGTAACAGCTGTCCATGGGACCACAATAAAATGCTTCCTTACCGGCAGCAACCTGATCCCCAGGTCAAACAACTTCCAAGGTAAAATGAGGTTATTGGCATTACTTCCTCATGCAGAATTTGACAGGTTAATAACATTAGCTGTTCAGTAAGGAGAAGTCACTTAGGTTTTTTCTACTGAGTAACAACTTGGTATCAAAAATGCCTCCACCCCCCTGCACATCCATTTAGCCCAATTTCTACAGTGCCTTGAAAAATTCATGAAGCCAAGACTACTGCGTTGCACTCAAAACTTCAAGATTTGCTGTTCTTTCTAAAAACGCTGAACATCTAGACATAGGAGGGAGATGGCTTTAAGTTATTTGTTAAATTAGGAAATTAATCCCTAGTCTAAGCTCTAAAACAAAGTAGCGTGTAGGTTGCAAAGGATGCTATAAAAGGCATGGATTTCTTCATAAGTTTACAGTAAAGAATACTGAAAGAAATTAAGTTATTTTAGTACTTCTTGTGGGAGCCAGGTTGACATATCCAGACATTAAAGTTTTAATCAAAAAGATAAACAGGTGGCAGCGTAAGGTTCCCCAGGCTGTCTCACCACATATGTCAAAAAGGACCTGGAAATACGTTCAGGAACGAAGAGGTAGGTAGGTGCTTCCTACCCTGTTCATCTCTTGCCTCTTTTTTTTTTTGGCAGAGGTGTTAACTGTGGCAGTTTTATGTTGACAGCTTCCCAATACGAACTGAACAAGTCAAATCATTTCACACATGACACAGATTCATTTACCACCATAAACTGTATACAAAGGTGTGTTATTTTACGTGCATATGGTTGTAAAAGGGTGAAGGTAACAGACAAATTGCTGCTTTGGGAATTTACAGTCGTAAGATTTACAGCTGAACTCCTTTACTTCACTGTTTGTTGGATGTGATAAATCAGGAAGAACAACCCCACTTGCATCTCCCAGGAAAGGGAGCCAACTTTGCACAGCAAAGAAAGGCACTCTATTTTGGCTGACTTTGCAAAGTTTTCTGAACCATCAAATGTAAGATATGTTCATCATCATGATGAACAAAGTTATCCTAGAATTAGTGTGCATATTACCATTCTATACATTTAGTTAGTAGTAGTAATAGGAGTTTTTAGATTAATATTCATGTAATGAAAGTGTATGAACCTGGAGTGTAAGATACCATATAAAAATATACATCAAAAAACAGAATTATGTTTATCAAGACAGCTTTACTGTTGAACATTCAAGCAGCACAACTTGGCCACACATACCCATAAAACAAAAGCTGGCACATCCAATTACAGACCAACCAGCTTCTAAAGCAGCTTGCATGCATCAGTCAGCGCACACCCCTTCCCTCTCAAGCTGAATGTGGAAAATAGCAAGCAGCCAGTTTGTGCATGCTCTCCATCCCTCCCAAGGTATGTGGAGTACATTCATTTATCTACAACAGGGGGTTTCAGCCTCATTAGGCTCAAGGAACCCCCTGGAAAATACCAACTCTTCATGTCACTCATTTTTGGATTATGAAAACAGCAAGTCTCATGTTGCAAAGGCTCAGGAAGCCCACACAATTTCAGAATGATTTTAACACCCTGGATTTCTTTTTGAAATCTCTGGGTTTATCTTGTGAATCAAGCATAAGTGTTTGCACACCCAACAATGCTAATATAGTGCGACACCCTTAAAAGGATCTTGTGGCCCTCTGGTTGAGAATCACCTATCTAGAATTGTTCAATAACACAACAGGCTCTGTAATCATGAAAACACATTTCACAAAGAGGATCCATTCTGCCATCATTGCTTTTGCCTGGCTATAGTTTTATCCCTATGTGAAATCTTTTATACATTTATCTGAAAAATTGCGTCTAAATTAGCTATTTTCTTCATTTGATAAAACACTTTGATTTTAAAGCACTGAGCACGTGACCAAATCCTCAAGGTCCGCTACAGGTGTGGAAACAGGAGCATAGAGCATGAGTGACCAAACTAAGACCTGACTTGACAATATCTGTGCCCCAATCCGTATTTCTTTCTCCAAATGACACTGCTTACTTACAGCACTTGCAATGAATTGTATATTGGTGCTTTCCAAAGTGCACACAAACATTTGAAAACATAAGAGAAATTTGTCCTAGCTTATCACTTCTTAAAAAAACCCAAAAGACACCTCTTACCCCTTCAGAAAAATATTCACATGAGAACGTACCTAAATGTTTGCATATGCTTTGAGGAGTGAAATTTGTCATAGGAGGGTAGAGCATCCCAGCCAAGTGTCTGTCCAACCTGCTCTTGAAAACTTCCAAGGATGGAGATTCCACCACTTCTCTAGGCAGCCTGTGGCAATGCGTGACCATCTTCAGAGTCAGAAAGTTCCTCCTAACCTCCAAACCCAAATGTCTCCTGCTAAAGATTGAGGCCATTGTTTCTAGTCCTGTCCCCTACAGCCACAGAGAAGAGCCATTTCCATGTTCTCTGTAATCCTTTAGTTATTTGAACACTTATCAAATCCCTGCTCGGTCTCTCTCTTCTCCAGACTAAATAACCCTACTTCTTTCAAACTTTCCTCATAAGTCTTACTTCATATTCATTGCTGTCCACTGGACTCTTTCCAATCTGTCCACATCCTTCTTAAAGCAGGGGGCCCAAAACTGGACACTGTACTCCAAGGAAGTTCTCCCCAGTGCTGAACAGAAAAGCATCACTTCCCTTGATTTGCAAGTGACACTCCTGTTAATACAATCAAGGGTGCTGCTGGCTACTTTTACAAGAGCAGGCTGTTGGTTCATATTCAACCTATGGTCCACTGTTGAATATGAGCCAAGGTCCCTCCAGGTCCCTCTCTGCAGTCCTGCAGCCGAGCCAGTTGTTCCTCCTGCAGCAGAGCCAGTCATTCCCCAGTCTCTACTTGTGCATGCAATTCCATCCCAAGTGCAGGGCTTTGCACTTGTCTTTGTTGAATCTCAGTTGGCTGACCGCAGACCATTTCTTCAATCTATCTAGATCCTTCTGGATCCTAGCCCCACCCTCCGGAGTGTTTACAACTGCACCCAACTTGGTGTCATCTGCAAATTTGCTCAGATTGCACTCGAGCCTGTCATCCAAATCATTAATGAAGATGCTGAAAAATACCAGACCTAGGGCAGATCTCTAGGGAACCCAACTTGATAGCTCCTCCCAACTAGACATTGAGCCAATGGCTCCGAAATCACTTCAGCCAATTCCTTTAGTACCCTAGCCTCAAGGGCATCCCATTCAGCCCTAATAACTTGAGAGCATCTAGCTTCTCTAAGCAACCCCTAACCTGTTCAGTCATCACTCTAGGCTGTTTGTCTCCTTCCCTACCTTTGCTGCCAATTGCACTCATCACCTGCTAATTAACCCTATTGGTGAAGGCTGAAGTAAAAAAAGGCATTAAATACTTCAGCCTACGCTGCATCATCTGTAACTAGATTCCGTCCCGCATTCCCTAAGGGACTTATGGTTCCTCTGGTCTTCCTCTTACTTGGAGAATCCTTTTTTTTTTACCTGACATCCCTGGCCAGCTGCATCTCAAACCGTACCTTAGCCTTCCTAATGGTCCTTGCGCACCCATATGATTCTCTTGTCCTCTTTCTTAGTACTACGACTGAGTTTCCCTTTTTGTAGGATTCCTTTCTGAGGTTGGACTCACTGAAGAGACTCCTCTCTATCCAGGCTGGTCTGCTGTCGCACTTCCCATTCTTCAACCACATCAGGACAGCTTGCTCTTGCACCCTTAAAAGAGCCTCCTTGATGTGCAGCCAACTCTCCTGGGTTCCTTCCCCCACTCAGACTTGCCTCCCAGGGGATCCTGCCCACCAGTTCCCCAAGTCCAGTGACCTTTCCTGGTGCTCTCCTTCCTTCCTCCCCTTAGGATTTTGAACTCTTTCATTTTGTCATCATCGTCACCCAGGGTGGATTTGACTTAAATCAAATCAATTTAAATCACCGGTCAGAAAGCCTCAATTGAATTACTGTTTTCTACAAAACATGCATTCTTGTTGTTCAATATCCTTTATTCATTTAAGTTCTTGAAACTCTGCACTTTTAGAGAGAGGTAAGGGCTTGACTGTGTACACAAACTTGCAGAGAT